TGTTGCCTCAGTTCCCCTATTTTCAATATCTGTCACAAACTGGCAAGACGACAGGGAGGAGGAAGAGGATCCCAGCGAGGGGCATAGCCAGGACTGGGACACACTGGAGCAAGCTGGGAATGGAGAAGTACTCACAAGCTAACAGAGGATGGCGAGGGGATGGAGGTCAGCGCACATGAAGCATGGCAGCAGGAACCATCACCAGAGTCAGAGAGGAGGTCTTGGTGAGCTCTGAGGTGTAGGGAGCAGCAGGAGTGGCACTCTAGGAGGCTGAGGCAGGCAAGGGCCCCCAGCTCAGGCCAGGTGGGGCTCGCTAGCTCTGGGAGGAAGTGTGTGATTCTTCAGCTGGAGCAGGCTCAGCACAGGTGAGGGTCACCTGCCTCGTCAAGCCCAGATGCTGCAATCAGCAGGCAAAGTACAGAGGGGAAGCAGAAATGAGGTGCTGTGTCTGCTCAACTGGTCATGTTGATGGACCTTGGCTTGGATGCTCATGGACCTTTACAGGACTGTGCTTTGGGTTTGACTCTGGTCTGTATCCTGACTGCTGGACCTTCAGACTTGGCTACTTAGATTCACCCTGAACTGTTGTTTCCTGGACTTTGCTTGTGTGACTTGGCCCCCGGACTTAGACTTAGACAACTTTTTTGCTGCCAGGGGTTGAGGACAGTACTGCTTTGCTTCCCACTGTTCCAAACCCTCACACCAACACTTTACTTTCTCTGTAGAATGAGCATTTCTAGGCACACAGGTTTTTTTTAAAGAAAGTAAAATCTGATGTGATAATTTGACTTTGTTCACCTTTTTGTCCCTACTCCTGTCACGGGCAGATCTGAGAGAATGTTCCTGACTCTTTCACAGTGCTATATTCCCTAATATCAAGCAAGGCCATGTTCCTCTGAACCCGCCCTAGTTTCTGGAAATGATTCACCAACTGGAAACCACTGTATTCATTTATCAAGCCCTCTAACATGCCATCTTTTAGGCAAGGGCAAGTAACATGGCCGTTTTCTTGACCCCGCACTGGAAAGACAGAGCTGAAATGCAAGTTTCTTTAGACAGAGAGGTGCCATGTGGCAGTTTTCCCTCAGGTCCTTCTCCCATTATCACATTGGAATGGTTTGCTGTCCTTGTGGCTGGTGATGTCATGTTTTATGTCTCCACAAACCAGCTCTGTGTTCTTTCCTTATGATGGCCACCATCTTCTGCTCATGAAGCTACCTTTCATTGGCATCTCCATAGCCAGCATTAACACGTGACCTGACTCTGTCTGTATTATAAAACAGAGGTGAGCATTCTACGCTTCTTGGCCTAATTTCATGAGGCCGTCCCCAACCAAATGACATGTGGGCAGCAAGTCGGGGAGAGGGAAAGGGTGGCAGAGAGAAAGAAATGTAGGTATTAATATAAACCATGCTTCTTTTAAACAGCTACGATTTAATATTTGGCTATGCTGACAGAGGCAAAACGTTCAAGAGATTTAGCAGAACTCCTGTGGATGATTTGCAAACTACCTCCTGTCATTTCTGCACGTTGTCACCTATACCTTGTGTGTCACATTCAATTCCTTAACCCGTTTTCTCATCTGGAAAACCAATTCTTTCTAAGAGGGGGGGAAATAATCCACTAGACAATTACATTTCCAAAACCACTCTTCATAGTTTCTGCAAGAAAATGCCACGTCAGAGGATTTCTTCCACAACACAATGCAGTGCACCTCTTTGCACAAATACACAGCTTTATAAGATTTAAAGAGGATGTTGTTGGCGACAGCGTCATTCTGGAAGATGTCTGCTTTCTCAATTAGTCAGTAGATATTTTGCATGACTCCAACGACATTGCAAATATCTACCTGCCCCAGGGAGAAACTAGAAAGCTCAAGGAAAGAAAAAAAAGACAGTAAGACATTAACCACTGTTGGCTGTTTTTATTACAAGGCTCCAGTTAGAAACTGTATGTCAGACCTCATGGTTTTAAATAATTTACCCAGTGGATTGTCTTCACTTAAGCTAAGAGATCTCAGCATGCCCTTACTGGGGGGAAATAAAATTACACATTTCTCATCATTCTCTTAACATTACAAAATATGCCAGAAAGTACACCAGATTTTGGCTTGTACCGGTTTCTCTTTAAGTAGACTCATAGAACTGTAGAACTGGAAGGGTCATCTAGTCCAACCCTCTGGAATCAAAGAATCAGGAATCAAGTAAGCAATGGGAAGTGCCATATTTAGTAATTAACCACTTACCTCTCTCCCAGTCCTTTTAGTTTATCCTGACAAAACATGTGAAGACAAACAAGAGGCTTTACATAAATGTTTCCAGTCCAAAAGCATCATGACTATAAAATAACGTTACCGTAAGAGGACCCCCCCAAATCAATTCAACTGGGAAGAGCAATCCTATACTCAGCCGTACACCAAGACGAAAGAGATACCCCTCTGCCATGCCGGCAGAGCAGCCGCCATATCCAATGCATGATCAGCCCAGGAGACGTGGGAGAAGAGAAATACAAAAAGGCAGACAAAATAAGGCCCACAAGCATCCTTGGAAACACTGCTGAACCCACCACTCAGGTACGGTGCTGGCAATGGGACCCGGGGAGGGAGCCAATCCTTACAGGCTATTTGTGAGGTCTCAGTTCAATTGGCTGGCATCCAGAGTACCCTGGATCAGAGGGACTGTTCTCGAATGCCAGAGATGGTCACCCTGGCTGCTCCAGGCATGGAGGAACCATTGCTCTGAGCCATCCCCCTCTCACCTCCCTCTGCCGCCCCGCAGATGACCATCCCAAGTCCTTGCCACTCCCTTTATATATGGCTATTCTCCTTCCCGCCCCGACACCCATCTTCTGCTCCTCCCTTCCCTCCGCCCAGTTATTCCCTCCGAAAGCTCTTTCCCTAGCAGTCTGTGTCTGGTTCTTTCTTTGGGCCAATGACTTGTCTGTGCTCCCATTCCCCAGGATGTGCGGCCTGCCTAGTCAATAAAAGAAGCATCCCCTTTTTACGGCCTGCTTCCCTACAGAGCCAGGTGAGGACGATTTGGAACCTTCATCTCTCCTGTGTAGCAAGTCTCCTCTGCTATAATGAGTTGCTGTTTGCGAATAAATGCAACTATTGAAGTTCTCCCAACCCCTTCTGCATCCTGGTCCATCGCAAGGTTTCCTCACACACCGAGTACCTATCCCAAACCCATGGGATGCTCTACAACCAGCTTCCCATACAGGTGAGGCAGGGTAGGCAATGGGCCCCTTGGGTGCAGTTCTTCCTGTGGCTTTTGTGCCCCTTTGTGAGCTGCTAACAGCCCTCTGCTTGCCCAACCTGGATTGGCCATGCTGCTCTAGCTCACACCACCTGAAAAGAGGTCCAGCGCCCCTTTTCCTGTCTCATACTGAGGCAGCAAGGGAACACTATCCATGGTCTGTTTCCCCTTAGCCCTGCTATGTGATAACGGGGTTCCTTGCAAAACACCTTGGATGGGGTGGTGGTGAGTCTGGGAACATTATAGACATTTTTTTCACCTATAGCTAAGGCAGGAGTGTGTTGGGCCTCCAGAGGTTTCCCATCCCCATGCTAAGGGGAGTGTGTGAAGGTGAGAAAAGTTATGGGGGGCAGTCGCAGCAGTTACAGCTTGCATCATGTGCTCCCCCTTTCCTGGCTTGCTTATGTGAGTCCCAAGGAGCAGAGTGGAGTTTGGTGTTTGTGTCCGGTGCCCCAAGGCGAGTGACCTAACAGGGTTTGAAGCAGAGAAGAGCTAGCAAGGCGCTCAGCACCCTACGAGTGCTCTGGGGACAGGCTGCTTGCCAAGTGTTCCCTTTGCGGGTGAACTGTCTGTTTCCCCTCAACAAAGCTCCCCATTTTGGGATGTTAACTATGTGTGACTTGAGGCCAGAGACCTATCGTTTGAATTGTGGGCTTCCTAGGTCCGGTCGATAGGCAGGCGGTGCTCTGCTGTGAAATGGATGCCAAGTTACACCCAATCTAGGACTCCAGAGTTTGTCAACATGCCACTCTCTGGACTGTGGGAAGTGTCAGGGTGCAGCTCCGCTTCCACTGTAGGCTGATGTACCTACATGAGAAAGGGTAGATAGAGAGGAAAGCTTCCTAGACTGTCCACCTTGTGCTGACGGGTTAATCTTCCTTCAGTGTTAGGCGGATAATCTTAGGTTTGCTGATGTCACATCCTACCTTCCTTCTTTGTCTCCATGCCTCCTCTTACGAGCAGGTGTACTTGGAGCTCGCTCTCTCGCTTTCCTGTTGGCTCAGTGCATCTCCACCTTAGTTAGAGCTTTCCTACCAACATTAATCCCCTAAAATAAACATTAGCTTTCCTATGCTCCTAGACCCAGAGTCTCTCTGTGACTGTATGCAGGGTAGAATGTGCTCCTCTCACAGGGATTCCGAATTCAGCTCAACGTCTGCTGAGCATTCCACTCCAAAGTAATACAGGTGTTGTCGTCAACAACCCTCAGCATCCTTTGACCATTTTGGGCTGTACTGGCAGGGACTTCTAGGAAATGGGAGTCCAACATCAATCTGGAGGGTAACGCATTGGCTCCCCTTGCTATACTTTGCCATGGTTCTCGATAGGGGAGCAGATAGTTTTCCATTGTCCGCCTTCCATTAAAGCCAATGAGAGAAAAACTCCCTCTGCTGAGTCTGTGGCTGACGTGTGTTGCACTGTCGAAAGGAGTGTGGCAGTGGATTAAAGGAGTATATGATATAATGCTAAGTGTGCTCGCCCCCCTGAGCTGCCCATGCCCTGGCCACATCTTCTTCACCAGTGAAATTACTCCATCAGTTCTGCCAACATATGAGGGGAGTTCGGCTGGTGTATCCGCCTGGCCAAGGGTGTATTTGGCGTTCCACCAGCATTTGGGGACGTCTTCCAGATCCTAAAGCTCCTTAAGCCGGTGGATCTTTCATATAGGATTGCGTCCTTACAGTGACTCCACAGTAGGGAAGGAATTGCTAAGAAACCTACCAAGATCTGGGCATCCGTATCTCTCTGTAAACATTTTGAGAAGGTTTATTACATTTCCAGAAAGGTTAGGTGTTTACAGCAGGTTTTTGCGCTACATTTTTATATACTGTAATAAATATATAACAGTGCCTGGGTTCAGTTCCATCACACATTTGAAATTGAGAAGAAAAAAATAAAATAAATTGCCCATTATATATAACAACATTCCCTTTCGCTTCATGACTGGTCGTATCTAGGTGTAAACAAAACGGAGCGAGTCATTCCAGATGAGCTACATCCAAAACCGGTGGAGGGTTTCATGATGAACTGCAAAGGTCCTGGCAGTGAGTACCTGAAAGAAAGGAAGGAAAGCATGAGAATTCAACAAATATATTCATTTCAGTAACATGAAATCGCTGAACAAGGGCACAACCTAGTAGAGGGATGTGTACTGGTTCCTTATAAGAACCCATGCAGCATCGGTAAAATAATACCTTCATTTAGAATGAAGTGTGGTGTAGTGGTTAAGAGCGGTAGTCACGTAATCTGGGTAACCGGGTTCACGTCTCCGCTCCTCCACATGCAGCTGCTGGGTGACCTTGGGCCAGTCACACTTCTTTGAAGTCTCTCAGCCCCACTCACCTCACAGAGTGTTTGTTGTGGGGGAGGAAGGGAAAGGAGATTGTTAGCCGCTTTGAGACTCCTGAAGGGGAGTGAAAGGTGGGATATCAAATCCAAACTCCTCTTCTTCTTTATTGGCTGGCTAAAATAAAGGTGTTAAGTTACTGGCACTGTGATTTTTAGGCACATCTAAGGGCAGAACGCTACCACATCCAAGCACGTGGATATGAAGAGGTGTGGTGGGCACACGCTAGGTAGAATCCAACCATCTATTTTTTTAAAAACAAAACAAAACAAAACACAGAAGTTGATTTCCTGTTTCCCACCCTAGTGTGACCCTGATTTGGAAGCCTCTGCAACATGAGCACCTTGTCTTCAAGTGTGAAGTGGTACTCCATCTACAGCAGCGGTTCTCAACCTGTGGGTCCCCAGATGATGTTGGACTATAACTCCCATCATCCCTGAGCTCTGGCCTTGCTAGCTTGGGGTGATGGGAGTTGGAGTTCAACAACATCTGGGGACCCACAGGTTGAGAAAAGCTGATCTACGGTCTTTGTAGACATCGCCAGGACATCAAATGCAGGATCAGGATGCTTCTTCTGCCCCAAACAGACATGTCTTATTGAGGAGCTGACCAGTAATAAATCCCTATCTGTGAGAGGTATGCCTGCCCATTTAGGAGATTCATCTCTTTGGGGAGGGTTTTCTTGCAGGATATGCGTATGTTGGTCAGTAATGTTCAACTCTAGGATGGGGAACCTCTAAGCTTCCAGATGTTGCAGGAGTACAACTCCCTAAGCATTGCCCGTTGTGGCTGGGGCTTAAAGCAGTTGGAGTCCAACAGCAACTGGGGGGGGGTCACAGGTTACTCTTGCCACTACTCTCTGCTCCGCCCCCCTGGCTGCATTTGAAACAATGGACCAAAATATCCCCAAAATAAGAAACTGAAACAAGTTTTGCCTCGTGCAAAACACTCCTCCAAGAGGCGTTTGCATGCCAGAGTAGCACATATGTTCATATAATGTGGTGGCCCTCCAAAACCTTTGGACTACAATTCCCATCAGCCCCATCCAACGATGAAAGATGTTGGGAACTGGAGTCTAATAAAATTTGGAGGCTGGGGAAGGCTGATATAACTATACACTTACATTTAACAGCTCTATTTCTTTGGTCTTGGGGGAGTGAAGCAGGCCAGTTAGTCAACAGGGGATAAAGGGACTGGCGTGAAATGTCTGGGCTGCTGGATTTTTTATTATTATTATTATTATTATTATTATTTGCATTCATTTTAATGTAAAGTTTGCTTTACATTTGAAAAACTGGGCATTTGAAACTCAAAGAAGTCCTGGCCAATTTTTTATGATTTGCAATTGCAAGGTTATGAACATTGTTGATCTAACTTGCATTCAATTAAATTTTGTCTCCATGCCGACATAGCAACACAGGGCAATGTGTATGTAACTATTATAAATAACTATCATACCTAAAAACTATTATACTAATCTGGGGAAAGAGGGGAGGATTTTTTGACGTTTCACAAACCTCCCTCAACACAGAGGACTAGAAGGATGTTTACTTCTGCTGCAATCCTATACCCACTTATTGGGGAATAAGTCAATGAGGCTAACTTCTGGAAAGACATACCGTATTTTTCGCACCATAGGGCGCACCGAACCATAGGGCGCACCCAGATTTTTTGGGGGGAAATAAAGGGGAAAAAAATTATTTTCCCCCCCAGGCGCGGGGCTGGGGCGGGGGAAGCTCGAGATTCCCCCGACCCCAGCCCCCAAACAGGCAGCTCTCTGCAAGCCGTGGGAGCGCTCCCACTGCTTGCTGAGAGGTGCGCGAAGCCTGGACGCGCTGAGCTGAGCGCGCGCAGGCTTCAGCATGCAGGCAACTCTCCGCAAGCAGTGGGAGCGCTCCCGCTGCTTGTGGAGAGGTCCGCGAAGCCTGGACGCGCTGAGCTGAGCGTGCGCGCAGGCTTCAGCATGCAGGCAACTCTCCGCAAGCAGCGGGAGCGCTCCCGCTGCTTGCGGAGAGGTCCGCGAAGCCTGGACGCGGTGAGCTGAGCGTGCGCAGGCTTCGGGATGCAGGCAAGTCTCCGCAAGCAGCGGGAGCGCTCCCGCTGCTAGCGGAGAGGTCCGCGAAGCCTGGACGCGCTGAGCTGAGCGCGCGCAGGCTTCGGGATGCAGGCAAGTCTCCGCAAGCAGCGGGAGCCCAGTGCTGAGCTCCCGCTGCTTGCGGAGAGGTGAGCGAAGCCTGGAGAGTGTGAGGGGTCGGTGCACACCGACCCCTCTCGCTCTCCAGGCTTCAGCGAAAGCCTGCATTCGCACCATAGGACGCACACACATTTCCCCTTCATTTTTGGAGGGGGAAAAGTGCGTCCTATGGTGCGAAAAATACGGTATATAGAATTCAGCTGTTAAATCTCTCCCTGCTATGCTAATTTCCTAAGTATAAGGAATTTCAAATATGGCTGAGCATTCAAGTGGGCATTCCTCCCACCTGCTTTGAAGTTGTACAATCCCAAAAGGGATGTACCACCACATGCCCAACAGGTAGGTCTTTTATCAGTCGAGGAGGATGGAGAAGAAAATCCGAGTGGAAATAAGTCAAGAAATTTGGGAGACGGGTGAAGGCTTCAAAGTGTTAATCACTTTGGAGAAGGGAGAGTTGGGAGATGGGACATTGATGAGTTGAGATCAAAGGGGAGATTTTTTAAAACAACAACATTGTAGTGCAATGTATTTGTTGCCTGCAGAACCAAGTCATTCCACACCTGTCATCCAGGGGCATCCTCCACCACTTAAGTGTGATAGACTCGCATGCAACCGTGTATATGGACGGAACCAGGAAATGATTAAATAATTCAATCCAAACCTGGAAATGGGGAAGGAGACCTAGAGAGTCTTTGTGCCTCACCAGGAGACCTTCCCCAGAGCCTGAAGAGGACATCTATGAAGGGGGAGGAAGCCCCAAAGAGACCTGAGGCACAGCGGGGCTTCCCCGCCCCCACTGCTCAGCCTCCCCGCCTAACAGATGGCGAGGCAGCGCAGCAGCCGAAGTTGCCGATGCAATTCCCAAACATCCTCCAGCCCCCTGTCGGCCCCAGAGCTTCAGTTCTAGTTGTGGATATTTTTGGATACAGTCTTTTGGGTATGGATTGAAGAGAGAGCGACAGAGAGGACGTTTAGAGGGTGCTCCCCACTTTTCGCGATTTCACTTAGGCACATGGGGGCCCGGAAGTGGGGTGATGCCTGTACTCCACAGCAAGAGCCAGTCTCACCAAGTATTTCAAAGATGCATTCCTAGCAGTGTGAGAATGTTGGTGCCCGTGCCATGAGTGCTGCCCGCTTGAAAAGGCCTCATCTGGACCCTTCTGCACTTGGGAAATGCTAATCACACTGGCCGGTTTCAACACCTCGAAGACACGAGCAGCTTCTAGGAATCCACCTGGCACTTACAACCTCCCCCCCCCTTTTTTTTTTAACAGGGAATGTTGAAAATATACTCCCCTCCAGGTCACATATCTCTCACGTGGAATTCACCTTTCCACCCCTGCGCTCAAACCACAAATTGTGGTTTCTGCGAAAAGACCATCTTTAACCCCAGCTACTGCACTCAGTGTGGCTGTCCTTGTGTAGTGTCCGGCATCACTTAGGACAAGAGACACAAGACTTCCATCTGTACCAAATGCCTGCACAATTTTTGTACTGCTTTCTGAAGTTTAAAAAACAGCCACCCTCTGCCACATCAGCCATATCTATATTGATCATCCATCCATCCCTCTTCCAATTCAAGAACCATTCCTCCAGTTTTGTCACACACTGGAATGCTTAACTCTCTTCTCTATTTTTATATAAAGGGGCAACCAGGCTTCTGTCTCCCTTTATCTTGCTGCAGCAGCAACAGGATCAGGGCGGGCGAGGGCAAAGAACTAAGGATCAAGCAGTTCCCGTTATGAAAATAAGCAAATGCCCGCACAAAGCCCTACAAGCCAGAAACGCCATTAACACATTTAGTAAGTACATTAGACTAAACCGGACTGTTATTTAATGAAGTTGTGACATAACCACCACCTCATTATCATGATTTTAGCAAATTGCTAATTTGCCATTCATCAATGACTACTCTGATTTATTTGTTTAAAAAGCAGGCAATAAGCAGAAGGGGAACTGGAATAAAATCATACAAACAATAATTTATCACGCATTGTCTAATGATCACCCTTTAATCTATTTCCCATTACGGATGTACTATAATTACGGGCAGTTATTAGATAAATGCGGCAAAAGTACATAAAAATAACACCTACACTAAGTGGAAGCTGCGTGACGAGCAATGCATTATGCTAGAATTGATTGCCACCACTGCACATAAATAGAGCCCACTGTTAGAAAAGGGTTACATCATGGAATGGGAGCCCTATTGATGAATGAATACTGAGCACACTCTGAAACAGTCGCGATGATTAATCCTACAAAATTACTGGGCAGCACCATGAGACTGTATGATGAAGTCAAGCCATTGCTTCCCAAGACCTCTTGCGAATTTAATGCAAACAAAGACCCCGTTCTAGTGGGACATTGTGAATGTTCAGGGTTTCCTTCCTACAAGACCAAATCCAACAAAGTGTGTAAAATGGCAGCGTTACTGCCTCAGGGTGCATTCAAAGACCATTAAATAGCCAATGGAAAGACCCTATTCTTTCTAATGTCACTAGGTTAGGGAGGAATTCTGAGTTACACCAAAGTGTGTGTGAGAGTGGGGGGAGCTCTGTAAAAAGTTGAAAAATAAAAGGGAGGGTGTTTTTAAGAAATCACACTGTCCTTACGAGTGAAACAACCCTCTCCGTGGGGTTACAGCAGGCGGAGTTCAATACAAGAGGTATCTTCATGCTTTTTGCGAATAGATGACGGTTAGCTACAGTGCGTAAGGCTGATCTGTTTGATCCGAGCACATAATTTCCATTAAAATAATTCCCTTTTACATTAATGATGAAAAGCAAGAACAATCTTTGGTCACAGCTGATCAAAATTAGATTACTTCTCTACTGTGATAGCATATTAATACCACACGTTTTGTTTTGCCGCAGCAGAGTTCTCTCTGCCCTACCAAATACTTCTCTCTCTTTTTTCCAGCTGGAATTAATTTACTTCCACGCTGGTGGAAAGAATTACACGATAAAACAGCAAGCAAACTTTGGATACCCGAGGAACAGGTCTGACACCTATTGTCTCGAATAATGCTACAGCAGCCAGCTCAGCCTTAAGAAGGTTTTTGGATTTATAACTCTGCAAATAGATGCAATCTGTAGGAATTGCAGGTATCGGTTACCTACAGGAATTAAAATGGCTGCCCTGAATGCTCCCAAATAGCCTGGGCAAAGGTATTAAGCAGCATAAGCCATAACACTCCATGTCAATGCCTTTAGGTCACTACCACTGGTTAACCAGTGTTCCAGATGTCAAAAGGCTGAACTTCCCTTCAAAGCAGAAGCACTTTTATCGCTCCATGTTGATTCACTCCACCCATGCTCAAAAACAGCTGACTTAAGAGCCACCACACATAATGGGTGGTATCCAACTCAAGGATTTATGCTTGTGCAACAAAACTTTCCTCCCCTTGTCTCATCCCCACCCCACCCCACACGTGCACACTCTGCACTTCCCCTCATCAGCTTCAGAGGGTTGGGGAAACCCTGGAACAGATTTAAAGCATATACACCTGAAAGGTCCTGCCAACCTAGCAGTTCGAAAGCACATCAAAGTGCAAGTAGATAAATAGGTACCGCTCCAGCAGGAAGATATACGGCGTTTCCGTGTACTGATCTGGTTTGCCAGAAGCGGTTTAGTCATGCTGGCCACATGACCCGGAAGCTGTACGCCGGCTCCCTCGGCCAATAAAGCGAGATGAGCGCCGCAACCCCAGAGTCGATCACGACTGGACCTAATGGTCAGGGGTCCCTTTACCTTTACACCTGAAAGTGTACACTCATCAAATGCACACTACATTATAGGCATCCCTACAGGCAGCTGTGGTTACAACTGCCTCCTGACTTTATGTGCAGTGTCTTGTAACATGGCCCTCAGCTGAACTGAACGGGTTGGAGAAAAGGGATTCTAAAAATAAAAATGAAAAAAGGCGCCACACTTGGCGTAAGAAAGACAAAGGGGAGTTCCTCAGGAGCAAGCCTAAACTCTGCTCCATTCAAGATTTTCATTAGTCCTTGTAGGCCAAGGGTGGCTCATGTAATCCACAAAGAGCACCAGGTTAGGAAGCATCTTTGAAGAGAGGGATCAAGATGCATAAATAAGGACAAGAATGGAGATGCCGTGCAGAATAAACGAGCTGAAATAACAGAAATGGATTAATACGACAGTGCAAAGCGTAACTCGGTGCAGGAGGGAGCCTGTGCCATTTTTAAAAGCCAGCTCTTCAGGCACTGCAGAAATGTTTTCTCTGCAATTTTTTTCACAAGATTTATATACCGCTTAGACTGCAATAAAACCTCAAACCAGTTTTAGGGGAGGCCACTCGAGGACAGAGAAGAACGTTCACCCTGTGCCTGCACACAGATGTGTCATTTGAACCAGCACAGATGGTTGGGTAGAAATTAAACTGGAGTCAAACTTATGCAGAGTGGTAGAGCAGTATGAAGTTCAGCAAAAACAAAACAAAAAAACCTTCCTGAATTACATGTGGAGAACCCTGCATTTTGAAACCCTTGGATCAGGCATGGCCAAACTTGGCCCTGCAGATGTTTTGGGACTACAATTCCCACCATCCCTGACCACCGGTCCTGTTAGCTAGGGATGATGGGAGTTGTAGTCCCAAAGCATCTGGAGGGCCAAGTTTGGCCATGCTTGCCTTAGATGAACAAAAAGAAGGTACCTTATCCAGAGACAAACCACCGAGCCATAGAGCCTAATCCTGTCTCTTTCAACAACCAGTAGCAATCCAACACTCTCTTTTCACTGATGATGTCAAGACATTATTATGCAAAACATGCCTAACACCAAAGAATGACAGCCCCTTTCCCAAATGCCCATTCATCCATGAGACACGCACTTCCACACCCAAATCTAATTTTGGCCATTTCAAGTTTACGAAACCAAAATTTGTCTTTTTGTGCAGCTTTGTTGTGCGTGGGGGGAAAAGGAGGTGGGGAGAGAAAGTAGACACATACTTTCCTATGCCCACTTGAAAAGCAGTTTGGCAAATGTACCTAGAAGACTATCTGTTTTCCCTTCAATAAGAGCAGAGGCAGCCACGCTAGAATCCAGTCTTGAGATCCAAGTCGACAAGCGACAATTAAAACTCATTTCCAATGGAAATGCTGGCGACTAAATGCATGGTTGGTTAACTGCCAGAAGAAATGGAAAAGGGACATATAACACTAAAATTTCTGAGTACTTGGGGGGGAGGGCATTTTGCAGATAGGAAGTTAAAGAGAGGAATCCAATGAGCAGATCTTAAAATGCTTTGGGTCTTATCACAAGACAAGCAGGTTTGGAGAAACAGGAATTCCATTTCCTCTCCTCCTGTACCCCCTCAACAAAACACACCATGCAACAGAGGGTCCCTCAGCACTCTGGAGCCTATTTTGAGAGCATTTGGGGAGCTGAAAAGGACGGAAGAGGAAGCTGTGTTGCATTCATGGAAGTCTGTTGTGCAAGAGGAGCTACAAGGCTGTTGCATACAGCTCTTGTAGGTCATCTATAAGATGGTGAAATTCTGATTCCAAGAGACCTGCCATCTTTCTTAAGGCAAATAAGAGTGTTTCTTTTTAAGCTAGGTTTTTTCTGTGAATTACCAGTGGAGCTGCTCTTCCTCTCTTCCTCAGTTTGTTTGGGGGATTTTTATTTTTTTTAAGCCAACGTGTCATATGGCATGGTCATTTCGAAATGCATGATGTTGCTACTTTATCCCTGCTTTGAATCTTCTGCCGGTTTTAAACTTAGACCGCATCCAAAAGAACCACAAGTTACAGCGTTTCGTCAGGAAGCCAAGGGACATGCACCAAGCGGAAACAAAGCAGTAGGACCACAGGCGCAAACCCAACACCTTCATGAATACCATGCTGAATGCATAATAATGGGTGTTGTTGTTTTTTTAAGATGTCTGGAGGGGCCCTCAATCTTACACACAAATGAAGCACCAGCTAAAGAAAAACAAACTCACACTTCACATAGCCTGGAGTGGTTTTGCATCGAAAGGCTCCCTCATGTGGTGGAAGCACTCCATGACTTGTGAGAAAGTCTAGACAGGAGACTGGCAGAGTCCCACACTTGTTCCTGGCAGTTCTAGAATGGCTCTCTGGGACTCATGGCCCTTTCCGACCAGGCAAGACTTCTAAGCCATCACTATGTGTGCTTCAGGGCTGATTTGTTGAGTGCGCAGAAGAACATATTCATTTAAAATCAGGGGTGGGGAACCTGTGGCCCTCTATAGACTTCAAGCCCCATCCTCCCTGACCACTGGCTGGGTGTGATGGAAGTCGGAAATCCAACATCTGAGGGAGGGCCGCATATCCCTCACCCCATTTATATGGGCCTGTTGTTCCACAGTCTGTTTTCGTGAGGGAAGAAATGAGCAAGCTCCCTTGCAGTGGATTGCCATACGCTAAACCAGGGTTTCCCAAACTTGGGTCTCCAGCAGTTTCTGGACTACAACTCCCATCACCCCTAGCTAGCAGGGCCAGTGGTCAGGGATGATGGGAATTGTAGTCCCAAAAAACAGCCAGAGACCCAAGTTCGGGAAACCCCGAAAATATGCCCTGTAAACAACTGCTAGGCTGAAACATCTGTTGATGTATTATTTGTGTGCTTTCCAACCTGAGATTGAAAAAAATAAATTAAAATACATAGAGCAACCTAATCAAATCCTTGCCACCCTGCATTGCAATGAATGTTAGATTATACGAAGCCAAAATAAAGGAGGTGTGTATACCTTGTGTCATCCCAGTCTGGGTAAACTCCAGTGAGGGACCCTCTGGAATCGGCAGAGTATTTGTAAACCACTAGCAGGCACTGTTTACAAAGATCTACTATTCGTTGGCAACACTGGATCTGATCGTCAGTCACCGCTTCTGTGCTTCTACTGAATATCGTCTCCCAGGAGCTCCTGTTGGCATGGAAACAGACATGACCTCATGTTTTCTGTCACAAATGGCAATCTAAAAGCTTTACTGCTCTACAGGAGAGATTTAGCCATGGAAGAAGGAAGAGGAATAATGCACGACCTTGCCCGTTTACAGTAAAGAGCCCACCCTATTTCACCAGCAGACGGTAGAAAATATAAAACACAAATGAGTAAGTTAACCTTCGGCTTTCGGGGGGGGGGAGGGAGAAGCCCACAAGCCAGTTGTTCGGCGAGCGTCTCGAAGCTTCAATGGCAGAACCCTTTAGTGTGGGCATAAGATACGCCACATTGATGTTGCTTTCATCAATGCAGGGCGCATGGATTAAGGGTTTGTGCAACCACCTGAAGTCTCCGACGCAGCATCATAACAGTTGCTAAACAAAAGCATGACTGGAATATAGACCTTCATGTTGGACAGCCATTATATTAGCTTATAAAGGGAACAACAAAAGCAATGTTTTACTGAAATAAAAAAACAACAACCCTAAATGTGATGTGTCTGTAAAGGATCCTTGCTGCTGAGTTGGATCCTCAGGAGAAGCATCCAACTGGATAAGATTTGGTTGGTACATGCCAGACATAAGAGCGGATGGCCCAGTTTTTGCTCATCGAAGTCACAAAGCTTGCCCTTCTATTCTTACCAGTGGATTTCCCAATATATTGGTCTGATACGTGGACCAATAGATCCCAATTCTGGCTGCTTGGAAGCCTATTTTGACATTGTTGTTTAGTTGTTTAGTCGTGTCCGACTCTTCGTGACCCCATGGACCAGAGCACGCCAGGCACTCCTGTCTTCCACTGCCTCCCGCAGTTTGGTCAAACTCATGATGGTAGCTTCGAGAACACTGCCCAACCATCTCATCCTCTGTCATCCCCTTCTCCTTGTGCCCTCCATCTTTCCCAGCATCAGGGTCTTTTCCAGGGGGTCTTCTCTTCTCATGAGGTGGCCAAAATATTGGAGTCTCAGCTTCAGGATCTGTCCTTCCAATGAGCACTCAGGGCTGATTTCCTTAAGAATGGATAGGTAATCAGCCCTGAGTGCTCACTGGAAGGACAGATCCTGAAGCTGAGACTTCACTTTTTAAGCGCTGTTTAATAAATATGTGCATGAACTGATGTTTACCAAAGAGAGTATTTGTGCAAACATGCTTAGGGTTTCACGGCCAGTCTCTGCCAAAAGATAATGTACTCCACAGTTGCCTTTCCTTCGCCACTGGTGTTCTAATGGCTGGTGGGGGGTGGGGGAGAGAAGCAACACAAAAGTGGATTGAAGGAAGATTTGGATCCTGCATATTCCCTCAACACATCCCTAAGAAGGGAGGGGAAATAAATATGCCAGGCCCTGGAGCTGCCACACTTCTTTCCCATCCAGCCACACATACACATGCCTCTCTTGCCCTAGCCAACATCCACTCTGCCTGCCATAGGGACAGAGCAGCAGGGATTCTGGTTGCAAAAGTTAAGGCAGCAAAGCAGTAAAACACCCTAATCTGTGCGGTCTCAGCTCAGACCATTACATCGAACAGGACACAGATGCTGAGGAGTTCAAGGAGGTCTCATCCATCCTTATCAAAAGTTCTAAACCATCACCATTCTAGGACCGGAAGAAAATTCTGAGAACAGTTAATATTTAGTAAGGAACTCACTATGAGAAAATTAATAATAATAATAATAATAATAATAATAATAATAATAATAATAAAGCCGCAGCAGAAACAAGACAAAAAGAATGGTGCTTTTAAGTTAAGGAAAGCCATGACAGTTACAAGGTAATATATTGCTTCTTACCCTGAATTGCAGAAACAGTTCCACAGACCTTGACCATGGCTCCATAGCAGGCGATTAAACACACGATTAAGGAGTCGGTACAAATGTAAACATTCAACATCTGAAACTCCCCAGACACGCTGCAGAACTGAGCGGGTGCTCGCTTTCACAATATCTAAAACCTGGAAAAAAGAATTATAGTAAGCAGATAAATAAATAAATTAAGGAATACTTCAAAAACAAAAACTCAAAGACCAATGTTGTGCCAGCAAGCCTCTAGGAATAAATACTTAAAATACCAAAGCCAAAAAGACGACGATGAAAGGCTAGGTTTTAAAATTTGACACATGGTTATGGCAAGTGCCTGCAATCGAAACAAATGAGATCAGATCAAAATTTTATTAGGCGTGTAAAGAACATTTTATCTCACCCATTTGCGAAGAGAATAACAAAAGTACTTTTTGTGGATAAGAAAGGGATACTCATAAGGAGGATGAACAGGTTTCGACAAACTCTGCGTACACTTTGATTTCTCTGAACTGTGTATCAAAACTTTCTGCTAATCACAACTAATCACTCCCACAGGGGTGCTTCCAGCTTTACATAATTTGAGTGGTGAGCCCATTTACCATGTTTTGCTGAGATGTGTTTGGTTTTTTTCTTAAAGGATCGACTTCAAAGGAACCCCTTTCTTCCTGTTTTTCAGCCTAAAGCAGCACTAAGAATCCTGCAATGTCATGAGGCCAATTCCCCCTCTGTCTCCAGAGCAAGTTTTCAACTTTTACAAAACCTGAAATGCTTCTGTTGGCTGCATTTGCAGGCATTCTTTGTTTTTAAATAAAGCAAGGAATGAACGTTCAGTTGAATTAATTTTGTGCTGCACTTTGTTGTTGTTTTTTAAAAAAGGCAAACAGCCTGTGCTTGACACACAGAGGAAGGAACGAGATGACCAAGCAATTAATTAGCGTTTAATTTGCTGATCATTATATTGCTGGCTTTTTAAGCACAGGTAAAACATGAGCTCACCCCGTTGCGAAAATATATACTTCCGGTTCCTGTTTTCTGTTACTGGAGTACTGGGAGGAGGTCTCCTGGTGGGACAGAACAACAGCAATAGCCCTCAAACAACAGCAGCACAGATGCTTACTAGTAAGAGGAGGGAGAGGGAGGGACGAGAGGAAGGGGGAACGTCAGGGCTGCTTGAATGAATGCACCACTGATTGGCTCTGCCAAGGCATTCACACAGCCCCTACCTAACCCCATTTTCTCCTGGTAGGTGGCAGATGATGCTGCTGTCAGGAATCTATTGCTGTGGCTCGCCCCTCTGGGAGAACCACTCCTCTTCTGCACCTACCCTTAATTGCATTTTACAGACTAGCACTACAGTGCTTGTTTTCAAAGTTTCAGTGCTGTCTTTCCATCTAAAATAGTGCCCACATCCAGTTTAACAGAAGGAAACGATGGTCTAATGTAGCCAAACCCTATACAGTGGTACCTCGGGTTAGGTACTTAATTTGTTCCGGAGGTCCGTTCTTAACCTGAAACTGTTCATAACCTGAAGCACCACTTTAGCTAATGGGGCCTCCTACTGCCGCCGCGCCGCCGGAGCACGATTTCTGTTCTCATCCTGAAACAAAGTTCTTAACCTGAAGCACTATTTCTGGGTTAGCAGAGTCTGTGACCTGAAGCGTATGTAACCTGAAGCGTATGTAACCCGAGGTACCACTGTATAATATTTTTTTAAAAAAACAAACAAACTGAACTGGGAATGTCTTACCACTGTGTTCGGCTTATAAGAGAAGCCGGGGAGAAAAGAGCTGTAAGGTTCTCGTATAAACTCTAATTTGCCTTTCCTTTTTTTGTGTGTGTTTCAACATGTACCACACGGTCATCAAGCTCAAGACAATCTTTTTAGCCATTCAGCGTAGTTCTACCTCTTTTCCACAACCCAGCTAATAATGTAACTGTGGGCCATAGGGCTGGTTTCTTGGACTAAGGTTGCAATGCCAAACCCGCTTACTTAGGAACAAGCACTAAAGAACTCAGTGGGACTTGCTTCTGAGTAAACATCTATGGAATTGTTCTGTGAGTGGCATAGCAAGGGGCTTTAAACGGCGGCGTGTGAACTTCTGCCACAGGAATCTACCCCGGGGATACATGCAGAGCTTGGGAAGATAAATTGAAACTCCCTTCACATGAAATCAACTCACTTTGCCTTAGGACACTAGCTTCCTCATTTCAATTCATTTCAGTGTGTTGACTACAAGTCACTGACTCAGTTCTTGGCACAATTAACTTATCAATTCCAATCTTCTGTAAATGAGGGTTAGAGGTTCATAGGCTAAACGCTGGACCAACAGCTTCCACTCAACATCAAAATGTGAAACCATAAGCATAAGATGATTGCAGGGACCGTTCTGTGCCTCTAAGGCTAATTGCATATGAATTTAACTAAAGATTCTGATTTCAAGAGGAACTTATTTAGGAAGGCATTCAGCCAAAAAAGCAGGGGGAGGGAAGCTGGCAGGGTGGGGAAGGTAAATTAGCACTTCTTAAATAGACCAATATAGACGGATGTCAGGATGCACAGAAGCCTGAACATCCACAGGTAAGTTTATATACAATGTATAGGAATTAAGATTCACAAGGGGAAAGGGCGCTGCACAATTTTTGCAGTTGTGTTTTCTGTTGTGATCTCCACCCTCTGCGAAAAGAAAGAATATTTTGCCCCCCAAAACATGAAAGATTGTAGAACAGCACGCATATGTGCTTTATAACTACAATATGATGTCATTTATAAAAGAAAAAGAAAGAAGCAGTCCTTATTTTTATTTTTATTTTACTTCCCTGCAAATTGCAGATTACAGTCAAGATGAAAGGTGCCGAAATCGGAATACAAAACCCCCAAGGCTGGCCCACAGACTGCACTGTGAACCCTGCTCATGCAGAACCTTCATGAGAACAATCTCTCCACATTTAAGCGCCTACACAAGCAAGCCTTGCCCCTTTGATCCATCTCTATTTTTTCATGGCAGGCAGATTGTGAGGCCTGCTTTGCACAGCCATTTCTACAGGACTAAACTGTGGCTGATATTAACAGCTCTGCTTGTGAGTGGAAGGGATACGAAAGTCCTGAGATTCGCTCCCACAACGATCACATGTACCTCCTGTGCGCAAGGACCAGGAGAAAACTCTCGCCTAACTACCCAAGCTTGCAAGATAACCTGCACATAGTTTTCTTGCTAAGGTGACCTGCTCAAGTAATGCCGCCATTTGTCCCACTATTAATACTTTCCAATGTACTGCACCTTTGTACATCTTCTGGGCAATAATACATCGTCTCCAGCATTGCATCCTTGGGAAAATGCGCACAGGCACATTCTCAGATTATCCGCGTTGCCCAGAAGATGTGCAAAAGCCTGCTGGAGAATGCATGCGTTGAATCAGGAAATGTGCATAATGACCTGTCCATGGACAAACAATGTGCATATTCTCCTCGATAATATGTGCATATTAGTCATTCAGCTCACCTTACCCCTAACACATAAACTAGCAGGTGATGGACCATTTAGTGTATCTGCCAGGTCACTCTGCAGCCAGAGTGTCTGCCTCCATTTTATATGCTATGCCACTACTAGCCACGCCCCTTAATTGAAATCTTAAAAAAAAAGCCTTCGACTATATTTGTTACTGTCGCCTGCCCTTCTCCCTATCAGTTCCCTTCCCAAATGCTGGCATATGGAGAGGCCGAGCTTCTGTACTTTTGCGTCACGCTCGGAAAACCTTGGGCCTCAAGGTCAATGCGAAACCTTAAGCAATCTGTTTAACTGCATCCTTAAAAATGACTCTGATTGCTCAAAGAGGTTAGGATTAAACACACGGAGAAGCCTACGGCAAGGCACTGCTGCCAAAAGACGTCGAGAGCTCATCAGCGCTTCAGGTAATATTAGCCCCCTGAGTCATCAGGCATGTCTTTGCAAGCTGAACAAAGACATCCGCCATTTGCAGAAGTGCCATTTTTCTTCGTAATGACCTAGTATATCATCTTGACCCAGACTGTGTGCCTGGGGTACCACTTATATTTGTCAGTGGAAGAAAGCAGATACACTTACTGTTTGGGGGGAGGGTGTGTGTGTGTGTGTGTGTGTGTGTGTGTGTGTATTCATCCTACACAGAAAACACAGTCTACAGTGCTTTTAAGAACAGCCTTGCACTGGAGAAAACTGGATGGTTGAAGTGCAATTCTAAAGAGCTATGCAAGAGGAAGTAGAACTACAGACTGCACAGGAATCAGTGCAATCAGTGAAATACTTCTAACCTAGTAGTTCATAGAATTGTAGAGTTGGAAGGGACCCTGAGGATCATCTAGTTCAACCCCCTGCAATGCAGGAATATGCAGCTATCCCATCAGGGGATCAAACCTGCAAGCTTGGTGTTATCAGCACCCCTATCTAACCAACTGAGCCATCCAGACTGAGCCCCCCCAAAAAAACCCTGCTGATGGTGACACTCCAGTTCCTTGGACCAGAGAACTACTTTTGGCTTCCATTACTATAAACCGTGGTTTGTTTAAACTCTTGTTAATAAGAACAAGTCAAGATTACACAGTGGTTTCAGGATCTAATTTGCTCACCAGCTAGAGCTGAAGCAAACCACAGTTTCCAGAGTTCAGGTGCCACAAGGAACAGTGTTGTAGAAATATGATTTTGTTCAAAATAAAAACAGTCTCCTAGTTGTAGGTGTGTCAGAGGAAGGAAAGGGAAAGACCTGTGAAGGGGATGCTTATTGTGGATCATTCTTCTAGTAAGGCACCCTGGTTTCTTGCTACATCTGAACTGACCTATGGATTTGGCAACCTAAATGACCTTTTAAAATGGGCATAATACTTACTGCTTCTTACTGACCTTCAAGAATACCAAATTTTTAAAAGTTCAACTGAGATAAGACATTACCAGATAAATGACTAGTGCAGTTAAGAATTCATTAAAAGTGTTATTTCCAATGGCTAACACACAGTGAGAGGAGTATGCACCACTCACCTTTCTCTGTTTTGCAGAGTCTAGTTTAATTAACCAATATGAAGCCACTTTTGATTTATGGAATTTCCAATTATCCATAATCTGTATAAAAGACCCAAAAAAAATCAATTAGAATGATGTTATTTCTGAAATCAAACTACTGCCATAGGTACAATGAGATGTTTCTCCAGCGGTGCAACTGCTCTAATGGGGACAAATGCTAACCACCATAAAGCAAGGGAAATTACAGCCATGCACATGTGAAAATAGTCTGAAAATAAGCCCATACGGTTAGGGCCAAACTGCGTACCTCCTAATGCGTCCCACTTTTAAAACTGTTGCTTTGTAGCACACATTTGTGGACTGCAAGGTGGGGTTTTTTAATGTATATTAAAAATACAGGGTTAGTCTTTTAAAAGAGGCCCCATGGAACATATGTATTCTGTATCCATGGAGCCTCTTTTAAAGGACTCACCCTGTACTTCGCAATATAGAAGCCTGTTAAGGATCTGTAGTTCTACTGAGTAGTATTTCAAGCAGTGCCACCAGATGGTGCAAAGAGTAACTGAGAAAGATGGTGGGGAATGGTTTAAAAACTAGCCGTAAGGATGGTGGGTCAAGAAGGGAGAGGGATCATTTGAAATGTCCCAGTTTACAGGTCAAAGGGAAGGAAGAGCAAAAGGAAAAGGAAAACAATACCGTTCCACTTATGGATCTTTTCTGCTGCTAAACAACAACAGGAGGAGTAAAAAACCACTGGGTGAGAACAGCCTGGCAAGGTTGAGAACTAAACTTTTTTCCCCAGGTGTCAAAAAAGGTTATTTATGTATGCCACTACTGCGGCCCGTGTTTCATTAGCAGAAAAATGGAAAACGAGCAAGGTCCCAAGCAAAGAAGAATGGTAACTTAAGTTGACAGAATATGCGCAGCTTGCAGACTTAACATATAGAATAAGGGAACAAGAAGAACATATCTTTAGAGAAGACTGGAAAATGTTTATTGAATCTATGGGATAGAATTGTGTACAGCTGAAAATGCAGGCAGCATTAAGATAAATTCAACAGTGTAAATAAGTTTTGACGGATGCAATAATGGAATACTGAATGGTATAGTTTTTGTAAAATATGCAGGGCTTTATGATATGTAAAATGAACCATGGAAAGAGAAGAAGGGAAGCCAGAGATATTTTAAAGATGTAAAAATGAGTACTTTAAAGTGTAAAACGGAAAATTCAATAAAAATTATATACAAAAAAAAAAGGAACTAAACGTTCAAAATGATGCCAACATCAGAAGAAGTGAACTGCAGTGGAGTACATTTGGCATTTTGCAGAAGGTCAAATCAATAGCCTGGAGCCTGTTTTGTTAAAGGTATTAAGAAGTCTGGGAAGGGTGGCAGATCTGATCAACTTGGTACCATCCTGTTAGCTCTCACTGCAATTTCTCCAGCACGTCAGCTGCCCGAACCCTGCCTTCCGTACAATCTTATGGGTAACATAGGGTGCCCATGGGTACGGCCATAGCGGTTGCCGTTAAGGGTGGCATCTAGAGAAAAGTTCTGGCTGTCAGTTGTGAGTGTGGAAACAGCTGCATGTGTGCGTGCAGCAAGCATGCACGGTTTGATAGCCGGCACGGCTAAGGAAATGGCGCAGCTGCCGCTTCCACATGGAGGAAACTATGTTGAACTGGCTTTTGGAGGGGCGGGTGCATCTACGAGTCATTGTCTAACCACTGGCCCAAAGTCAGGATCTTCTTCTGCCAGAATCTCAAGAGGAAAAACCTTACATGATCCAGATCTCCAAAGGTGCTTGAAGAACCAACCACGAAACATGGGAAGCTGCTTTATACCAGGTCAGGCTATCTGTCCATCTATGGGAAGCCAACATTTTGTTCTCCTGATGTTGTTGGATGCAAACTCCTATCAGCCCAGTTAGTGCGGCCAATGGCCAGGGATAATGGGAGGAATAACTCACCTACACTGGTCAGTTCAAATGTTAAAAATGTGTTATAAAAATGTGACACCAGAGGGCACTGTGGAGCAGTGATCTGCCATCAATGGGAAATTGCATTGAGAGATACAGGTTTTTTAAAGTGTTTTTTTCAAATCAGTGTAGATCCAGCTGTAGTCCAGTAATTATCTGGAGAGGACCACATTGGTTAAAATAAATCTGGCTCAATGTTGTTTACTCTGATGGGCAGCCTCTCAAGGAAAGAAAAGTCTTTCCCACCCATTGATCCTTCCCCCCCACCACCACCACAAGAGATGTGCCTAGCTTCGAAGCTACAGAGTTCCATATGACTCAGGCAAGTAAGCCAAGCCGCGTGGCCCAAGAAGAAGTTCATTAGGATTATTTTATTGTTTTGCTGTGCGTATTCTTGTGCTATGTGCTATGTTTTTGTTATTATGCTGTGTGAATTATGTTCTTAATACCCTGGGGGTCTTTGGATAAAGGGCAGGATATAAACTGTAACAAAAAAATTGTCCTGGAGAAAATCGTGATTTCAGCAAAACTCATCAAGCAGGATAGGTAAGGGCTGGAACAAAGTTTGCTTGGGGATACTAAAGCCCCTTGTTTCTCTGACCATGTTTACTGCATGAATGTTTTTCACTGTTACATTACACATACGCAGTGATGGCTATGGAGACAGTGTGGTGCAGAGACAGAGGATTCTGCTACTGAATGGGAACCCGGGGTGTGGGTAGGGAACATGCCCTCATTAAAGAGTGTCACCTTTGTGGCCTCGTCGTCAAATAAACACCCAGTTTCTTATAATTTTCCCTTCTCCGATACTCACGTCTTCGAGTATTAATTCTGCGTCTTCATTATTTTTCCCTGGGTATCGGATCTTCATACTCGTGAAAATGACCAGCGCCTCCTTTGTGAGGGCCTCTTCTTGCTCTTTGGCTCTCTGTTGTCTTTCCGTCTGCCAAGTGAGAAAAGGGTTAGCTGGCTGCGTGGTGGGGTGGGATTTCAGAGTCACATGAGAAGCAGAGGTGAGGAACACTTTTCTTGCTGATTTTCTGGTATGAAGAACCGAGCGGGGAAATTCAAAACCAAAATACACAAATAAAATGTTGGGATTGCGGGGGGTGGGGGGGTATGCTACTGAATTCAATGGATCTTGGATTTCACTGCCTTTTGTGGAAAAGAACCTTTGCAAACATGAACCAAAACACAGACACATTCCAGGAGGAGGAGGAGACTTCAGGCAAGGGCATGTTTGTATTGAGCAGTACATTATAGTGCATAAAATGATTAATAACTTGGAATATCTCTCTCTGTGTGTGCTGTTTTTATGGATCTTAAAAGGGACCTTTGATACCGTAAATGAAACATATAGAATCGAAAGTATATGATGCATCTGCAAGATATCTAATGCCGAAGCAAGAGATCGTAACGAAGCAATATATAATACTGGACTTAACAACATGTTTTGTAGGATGTGTGTACAGTAAAACGGCTCTGAAAATGATGCAGAATGTATTGCTTTGACATTAGTGTCTGCTTTGCTGGCATTTATATATTCCTCAATATTTATAGCAGTGCCCTAACCACTTTTCTTGGGAGGTAAATCCAATTGATTTAACTGACACGTGTTTCCAACTAAGTGTGTTTGGGATCATCACCTCAGTTTCTGCTGATCTGTGGAAGCGGTATTTAATCTAACAGCAACGACTCACTAAATCTATTTTATCTCACAATTCACAACAAACATTTTATCTTTACCAAATGATTAGTTTTCCAGCAATCTAAAAAATAAATTAAAAAATCGATTTTTTTTCCACGCTGTTGGCCAGCTGCAGTACATTATTCTTAATTACACAACAATAACGTAAAACTATAAGCTCGCTGTCAGTATTTAGCCCTCCTACTCTGCAAGTGATTTTGTTCACATTATTAAAAGAAATACATCTCTTGCTCTGTCAGATAAATAACACGGGCCTTAAGCGGGATCTCTCTACCAGAAGATGTAGCACTCCATTTTTTAAAAAAAGAAGGGTCACTAAATATTCATTTAAATGGGCATCACATTTTCAGTACATCGTTACAATGACAGAAGGGTTCCATATAGGTGACAGACTTCATTTTAAAGCCTTGTTATACTCTCACCTAGAACCACATTAACTCATGTGAAAAACCTCAGCCGGCTTAAAGATCGCTTTGGGTTACTTTTAACTTTCAATTTTCCATAACAGAAGGTTGTTCTATTTTATTGTTGGTTGCGTTTATTTGCTGCAGTTGCAGTCCTCTGATTATCTCAGGAACCAATTTCTGTTTTTATCCTATCCTATAAGCCTCCATTAGAAGGTCCCATAGAACCATGAGGTCATAATAAAAATGTCAATGTACATACACGGCCACACGGAATGATTCAGTCACCTCACACATTTGCTCCCTCACCACAGCAAGCAGGAAGCCAGCCTCTGGAGAGTGAGAACAGCCTACAAAACCTGGAGCTACAGATAGAATCACAGAATCTTAGAGCTAGAAGGGACCCAAGGGTCATCTAGTCCAACCCTCTGCAAGGCAAGGATCTCAGCTAAAGCATTCGGCTTTAAGTGATGATTCCCATCCCCTCTGCAGTCCCAAACCTGGGTTGAGTACCAAAGCTCCACACTCGCTGGCCTCCAGCTCCACAATGTCATGTCCCTGGGGAGAAGGCCTATGGAGGAAGGCAGGCTGTTCGTTGCAGCACCACGGAGAGCTACTAGTGAGCAACTTGCTCCAGCTAAGTTTGGCAGAAAACTGATCCCCTTTGACCTTCTGTCTCCAATCCACCTCTCCCAGCCTCTGTCCCCTTGTGGAAAAGATAGTCTCTCCAAGGGCCAACCCTCTGGTCTGAAGATGTCTCCTACATTCCATGGCCTCTAAACTGGTGCACTCCTTGTGGGAGTGTGGGAGACACGTGGTTCCTCAGGCCCACTGGAAGGTACCCATGGGGCTCTGGCTCAAAAGGTTCCAGTGCTCTGGCAGCTGGTTCAGTGGGCTCCTGCCTGCCAGCTTCAGGTTCAGTGGCCCCCTGATTACCAGTGTCATGGTTACTGATGGGCTCTGGAACATGAACATTCCCTGTAGCTTCTTCACGGACCACTCTTGCCTCATCCAACCTCCACCCCAGTGTGGCTGTGCAGCCATTGAACAATTGAGTACCGTATTTTTCGCCCTATAGGACGCACTTTTTCCCCTCCAAAAATGAAGGGGAAATGTGTGTGCGTCCTATGAGGCGAATGCAGGCTTTCGCTGAAGCCTGGAGAGCAAGAGGGGTCGGTGCGCACCGCCCCCTCTCGCTCTCCAGGCTTCAGGAAGCTCTGCGCAACCCTCAGGAGACCGGCATGACTTCGCGCCGGTCTCCGGAGGGTTGCGCAGAGCTGCCTGCAGTCCCGGGCTTCGCGCAGCTCTGCGCAGCCCTAGGGAGCCCAGCGCGAAGTCGCACCGGGCTCCCTAGGGCTGCACAGAGCTGCCTGCATTCTGAAGCCTGGGGTGCACTGAAGAGCGTGCCCGGGCTTCGCGCAGCTCTCCGCAAGCCTGGGGAGACTGGTGCGACTTCCCGCCGGGCTCCCTAGGCTTGCGGATAGCAGGCTGTTCTTGGGGCTGGGGTCGCACCAGCCCCGCGCCTGGGGGGGGGATTTTTCTTTATTTCCCCCCCCCCAAAAAAAACTAGGTGCGTCCTATGGGGTGGTGCGTCCTATGGGGCGAAAAATATGGTATGTTTATATGTACTGGTGTAAGAAACCGCAAGAAAATATTCTGCCACATATATTATTAGGAAATCTATAAAACACTGGGCTGTAAAACATATATAATGGTTGTTGGAAAGATTTGAACGGATAAATGTGTCTTCTCATTCTCCTATCAGCAGCAGCAACAACAACAACAACATCATCTCTATAATCATCATGATCTGTATTTGGTCATTTGGCTGTGCCTGAATTTCTGGCTTCCTTTGATTAAATTCTGTAATTTACTGTAGTAGCCGAAACAACAACATCATTTTTCAATGTTCTAATGCTGTACATATAAAAGTAGCAATTGAGAAGCAAGGTTAGTTGTAATCACCAGTGCTACAGAACAAATCTATGCTGATTTGGAATCAGTTCAACATATTTTTCAAAATAAACCACAACCAACATCACTTGAAAAATATTTGGGAAAACATCACCAAAATAACGTTCAGACACAATAAAATCCCACACCCATTATCCAAACCGTGGCTGTGTGAATTAACCAAATTCAGCATATCTGAATTACACCTTCTGAGTTTCCAAAATGGATTGGATATATCTCATTTGGTGTGTATAATAAGATGCTTAAATAATCTTTAGTTAACTTTTATCGATCTTAAACTCATTTGGGTTAAGTTACCTGCGAATTGCTGGTTGCAGAACTAGAAATTTTAGGCTTGGATAATAAGAGGACACCACACCAGATCCCAAACAATTCACCTCCAGGTGTGATTTGCTAACTTACCACAGGAGAATGTACAGTACCCAGGTTGGCAGTATGAGACATTTTGCCCGCAGATGAACCTCTGTTTAAAGAGTGTGACCTACTCACAGAAGACGGGCGAGAAAGCTGCACCAAATTCTTGGCTGAGAAAGGGCGGTTTTCGGCGCCTTGCATTTGCATAGACAAGACTGAAATGGAGCGAGGGCAGCTCACAGAACGCCTCATAGGACCTGACAACGGCGTGGGCGATACGTAAGAAGGGACTTTCTTAAGAGGCCGCTTCCAGTGCATTCTGCCTGCAAAGAGATACAACTCAGTAAATGAAAAGTGAAACACCCCTTTTTCCCTTTCTCAAACCAACATGTTTTTTGTTTTTTTTTAAGCAGGGATTCCCAACCTCTTCACCTGTCCAGGACATTTCTGGGATCCCTCTTTTCCCTTACAGAGTCCCAGTTCTGCTTGGGTGCCTTGTCTACCAAACTCCACGCAACGAACACTTCTCCTGCTGACATGCGCCAGGCAAGAGCCAAGATGCGCTACACTGCTGAGGAACAGCCAATCAGAGGCACGTTCGCTCCCTTCCTGACATCCTTCCCCCTTCGTCTAATGCCCCAGTTCTTTGCCTCAGCAGTAAGCACTGAGCCGCAGGGATGGGTGAAGGAAAATCAAGAAGCCAAAGTTTCTGGTCCTTACACAAAGAATTGGTTATCGCCTCTAAAGTCCGAAATGGCTTAGGACCAGAAGACTGCCTCTTCCAACCTCCCAATCAATCCCCAACAATATAATGATAATATATTGGTGAGGTCCTTCTCTGCATCCCACCGGCTTGTGAGATACAGTTGGCAGGGTTTTCCAACAGAGCCTTTTCTGCTGAGGCCCCCACAACATGGAAACTTCCTACCCTAGGAGGTTCACTTGGCCCTCTATTTACCAGTGTGCCACTGTAGACTCAAAACGTTGTTACTTGAGAAAGCTTTTGGTGTGACAAGAGCTTGAATTTCTTTGTTTACTGCCTCTTTATTGTTCTGTTTCTTTCTTTCTTTTTCCCCCCTGCTGCCCTTTGGCTGTTTCATCATTGACTGTTAGATTGGTTTTTACTGATATGAGTCACCCCAAGCATTTCCTTAGAAATGGGAAAAAGCAAAATAGGTTTCGTAACGAAAAGACACATACAGGCAGGAAAGAGAAAGACGTGACTTTCCGTGACACTGAAAGCAGGCAGAGCTGAAACTGTGAGACTCTCAAATTATATCCATAGATATTTTGAGAAGCGCTAAAATGATTCAGGATGCATTTTTGTGTTATACACGTGGAAAGAGGTGGGGACACTGAAGAGATAGTTGAGTAAGGGGGTAGTTCAGAGGACCTCACATTCTCAGTAGCTCAGATCCATCAATGGTCCCCAGTGGCTTTTTCAGATTTAGCAACCATGTGCACACATTTTAAAAAATAATAATAATAATAATGCATGCTTTCTGCAAAACTTCATTAGCTTTGTATTTATCTAACTTACTGGATCGTTCTATTAATTTCCTGTCTTCAACATCAAATGAGACATTCCGCTCTTTCTTTGCATTTTCATATTCTTTTTCGGGTTCCTCCTCCCATTCAGATAGATCACTGCTGCTTTCACAGCTACTGCCGCTGCTGTTGTTCTTGGTCTTTTTCAAGAACTGCGCACTCTCTGGCATGGAATACAAGGGCTGGAGAGAAAGTTGGAGAGGGGGGGGGAGAAAAAAAATGTATTAACATTTCTCTCCCTCCCCCTTCATAATAACCTACTTCATTCTGGAGGGTTGGGAGCCTCTGCGACACTGCAAGGGACCGGGTCAGGCCCAATACATTTGGTTTCTGCACTACAGAAGCAAATGGTGCCACCTCCCCCACCCAAGCGAAGGTGCATAATTTTGGCACCTGAGGCAGAAAATCTCACGTGTGGCTTCCCTGCCAGTAAAAATACTTTGGTAACAAATAATGACACACAAATTCAGCTGCCTGAGACCACAACCTTTCTCTGCCTAACAATAGGGCCAGCCCCAATGGGATTGTAGCATGGAAAAGTAAATAATCTCCTATATGTGGGAACTGAATCTCTGTATTGTTCTCATATACACACACACTTTTACACACACACACACACACACTTTTACACACACACACACACACACACACACACACACTGATTTGATTTTAAAGTTTGGTAACAATTGAAAGATTCAATAAATAGACCCAAACAATACCAAGAGGGCTGCAGGTCCCCCAAAACTGCCCTAAAGTTTCCCCTTTCAAAATGCCGGTGTAACATTGGTGAGAGAAAGGTAATACATGTCCACTAGACCTCTTTTAGGAAAAGGGGTTTCACATGCTTAGTTCTTTAAGCCACACTCATTCACATAATGTTTCCAATGTAGGTAAAACAAGGTTTTATAAAGCAGGTTTGGAAATAAAATAAACCAGCCAGCCAGCACTGGGGGATAAAACCCTAAGCAATGAAAACAAGACTTGGCCCGGTAAGCCTCACTGTAATCCCATATGCACACGGGACGCTATATCCAGTCAGGGTCATTTATCTTTCAAAATATGAGAGAGAGACACAAAACAGCCACAGGAACAATTGACAAGGTCGGATAATTGTCCTCCCTCCCTCCATTAAGCAGATGCAAAACAGAACATCAGCACAAACAATCCTCTGGAAATGTATCATTTGTTGCAAGAAGACTGCCCCACTGGCCTTCGCAGCCATGACGGTTAATCTCTTTACCAGCTGAGCTGTTGGGTTTTTATTTGCCTGTTTTCGGATGATTTCTAAGTGAAAAGTAGGTCACTCGAGATAAAAACGAGCAATTTATCTTTGCAGAGCTGTGCTGCACGTTCAGCTGAGGGTGGTGATGTACCCAGCTGTCCTTCAGAGAATCCTTAAGCCTCGGTCCTTAACTGGGTGCCCCAAAGGGGGTCACTGGGGGAGGCAAAATTAAAGGCTGACTAAGAGCCCCAGCTTTAGTACTGGGACAAAACCTGCCCTAAAATGTCCTAGTTATTACTAGTAGCTGCCACCACCTACTGAATTAACAGAACTATATAGAATTCGGAAGAGAATGCACTGGGGGTAAACGAGCCACAACACTGTCAGCCTGGCAGTTTGTGTGTCTGTTATATATAATGTGCATGTGCATTATTTGACATCACGTTAACATGCAGTTTCTAAAAGAGATGCAATGCAAGGGAGTATATAAACAGATACAGCTGGCTTAGCATAAAAGTACTTCCTGTAAGAAAGTGAAAATGTGCCATCTAGAGGACATAAACGGCCAGTTCAGTGCAAAAACCAAAATAGGGAGGAAGGGAAGACGGAAGAAACATCCCACTTGCAATCCATGTAGTTTTGGGGTGTCTTTTGTTTTAGCGAAAGGGAAAGGAAAGTATTAGAGCCTTATTGAAATTGTTCCCCGAGGCCAGGGCACCCTCCTCTCAGTCTGTGGCATTAACCTTCTTGTCTGTAGCATGGCAGTGCCATCCTGATTTTACCAGTCCCAAACTTCAGAGGTGTTTAGAATGCAGTGACATACCTTTGGGCCACGTGGCCGGACAGATTTGCCCATTAGCTTCTCATCGTCCAGTTCACATTGTTCCAAAAGATCCAATATGTCTTCTTCCTAAAAAAAAGGGGGTGGGTGGGGGTTAAATCTCTGGATTAGTATAAAAAGCCAGAATGCACACAAAATTATGAACATGGCTTCTTGCTTCTCATCAAGCAGAGGCTAGATTCCAAAAGGAAGGCATTATGTATTACTGTAGACTTGCTGGAGCCTAATTAAGTTGGTACAGCTAACACAGATGCCCAATTGATGCCTAAAGTATCTTCCCACACACATGCCTTTCAAGGTGGTAAGCAGAAAATTATGCCAGTGGATGTACACTAGGAGCAGGGATGATGGCACATGGATTCCCGCACAGCTTTTCATCTGAATGCTATCAAAAAGTTCTACATGGGATGAGGGGAAACTGCAGATTTGCGGTTGCTTCAAAGGACCGCTGCCAAGTTTGGAGACCAGGATGTCGGGAGATGTTTCTTCCATCTCCCAAAACGTCTCCCTTGAAGCTTTCAAAGACACATCATTACACAACCCCTCTCTACTAGGAGCCATTTGAAAATGGACAGACACTCACAGAGAAGGCACATTATTGGAGATAATGCTTAGCCAATGGAATGTCCAGTTTTGGCAGATGTGTTGGAACATCTGGATGAATGGAAATTATCTCGGAGACACTTCCTCTCACACACCGGCCTTGAACACTGTCAGTTCATTGCCATAAACTGGAGGAATTGTGTGCTGGAGGAAAACCTCCACCGTGCTTATGGGAAGACTCGGCACCACACAACCTCATGGAACAAAAGAGGGGTGAAGAACCTCTGGCCATCCAGGTATTCGTAGAATCATAGAACTGCAGAGTTGGGTCACCTGGTCCAACCCACTGCAATGCAGAAATCTCAAGACACAGCCCCCCATCCAATTTGAAACCATACCAGGCCCTGCTTAGCTTTGCAAATGGGCTAGCGGTTTTATTGCCACACCACTGTTTGTCACATGACAGCTCTTGCCATCCCTGACTATTGGCCATTCTGCCTAAAACCGATGGGAGCTGAGGTCCGATAACATTACCCATCCCTGGAACAGAAATGCAAGTTGGGTGAATCAGTGGTCACCTTCATTCTTTTGAGGGGGTTGTTCATCTCTCGCTGAAGTGAAACTGCTCTACCGGCAAGGAACGTCTGAAAGGCAGCGGCTAACAAGCCCTCATATTTTTCAAGTAGCAGCTTATCGTCAGGAGGGTAAATGCGCCTACGGTTTAAACAGAAGGAGGAGGAGAAAAATTATGAAGTGTAGCCACAATCCAACAAGGTCACCACACACTGCACTGAAATGAACAGGAGTCTTGTTAGAGTGAGGAAGTGAGCTTCCATTCATACCACGGAGATGTGTGTATTAGTTTGATCCCAGAGGCTTATGCGCAAAACCTCCGGAGGTACGATTTGTTCAGTGTTCACCAGCAACGTGAAGCATACACTGGTGGGGACGGGGCACTAATTCTAGTCCAATTACTCTATGTGTGGTTTAACAGGGGTGTGGGTAGGTGTTACGAGCTATAAAAAGCAAAGGAAAAAAACGGGGCAGTGCTAGTTCTTCTATGGATAGAGAGGAAGGTTTGAAACGCTGAATACTCACTGAAATGTCAACGTCAGGTATGCGCGAGGCATGAAACATTAACAAAATATTGCATTCATAATTCAGAAGTGTCAAGGCTGAGTTCAAGGGGCAGGGGTGCTGCAAAAAGGAGTGGGAGATCCCATTGCTATCCTTGAAAAACAATAATCCGTCCTGAGCCATCTCTTGCTTTCTATAAGGCTGGGAGAAGGGAGCGCCAGCAACCCCTCGCCTTGTCTAGCAGCTGCACTACACCATCCAACAGCCCAAGACTGCCATAGACAGCTGGGGAGGTTAGAGGAGCAGAATTCATCCAGACTCTCTTTATTTGGGGGCAGGGGCTTGTTGTTGTTCACAAAACTCTTGAAAGAGCAATGGCCCCCATATAAATAAATGTACTAATAATAATAATAATAATAATAATAATAATAATAATAATAATTTATTATTTATTATTTATACCCCGCCCATCTGGCTGGGTTTCCCCAGCCACTCTGGGCGGCTTCCAACTGAATATTAAAAACAATACAGCATCAGACATTAAAAACTTCCCTAGGGCTGCCTTCAGTTGTCTTTTAAAAGTAAAATAGTTGTTTATTGCCTTGACATCTGCTGGGAGGGCGTTCCACAGGGCAGGCGCCACCACCGAGAAGGCCCTCTGCCTGGTTCCCTGTAACCTTACTTCTCGCAATGAGGGAACTGCCAGAAGGCCCTCGGTGCTGGATCTCAGTGTCCGGGCTGAACGATGGGGGTGGAGACGCTCCTTCAGGTATACAGGACTGAGGCCGTTTAGGGCTTTAAAGGTCAGCACCAACACTTTGAATTGTGCTCGGAAACATACTGGAAGCCAATGCAGATCTCTCAGAACCGGTGTTATGTGGTCCCAGCGGACAAAGGACTACAGGAATCCTGTGGTCCCACCGTTGAAGTGCCCATGTCTACTGGACATTTCATTGTCCTAAATGAGCAGAGGAAGCACCCAAGGATGCTCAACACCTCCCTGTGGCTGTGCGTTTCAAGGCAAGACTGACTACAGGGCAAGTTTCAGCTTTGGGGCGGAGCCCATCCTTTGCAAACAGAAGGCTGCAGGTTCAATCCCTGCCAACTTTACTTAAAAGATCCAGGTAAGATGATAAAGAAGATTATTTGGGTAAAACCCTTAGATGATAAAGAAGATTCTTTGGAAGAAACCCTTGAGAGTGGCAGGCCAGTTGGAGTAAAAAAATAATGGGTTAGATGGATAAATATTCTGTCTTGGCGCAAGTCAACTTCCTATGTACCTATGACTGGAAAGCTGCCTTTCAAAGACGGTTGTCCACTAATACCGATCTTCTGACTGTAAAAAGCTCCTGATAAGCTTTCCAGGCAACCTAGGGTTCTCTGGAATACAGTTTGAAACTGGACTGGGAAAGGTTACTGCCTCTTCTGTGATTTACGGATCCAATCCTAAGCACGATTGGGAATAAGCTCCATTAAAACACACCTTACTTCATCAGGTGCACTATCGATTAATAGCAAAGCATAACATGATCTGTCTCATTAAAAAAAATCAGTAATATTTTGCTTTCATAATTCAACCCTATTGTTCTGAGAAGAAAAGAAAAGAAAAGAAAAGAAAAGAAAAGAAAAGAAAAGAAAAGAAAAGAAAAGAAAAGAAAAGAAAAGAAAAGAAAAGAAAAGAAAGAAATACATTCAGGGACAGAAATCACCAGAGCACCCAATGGATGTTTTCACTGTAGTGTCTGGAAATAAGTAATTTTATATTTCACAGTTAATTAGAGTGGTAATCCGGGGTCTTATGTTTGTGTGTGTGTGTGTGTGTGTGTGTGTGTGTGTGTGTTAGTTAGTTAGTTAGTTAGTTAGTTAGTTAGTTGGTTGGTTGGTTCGTTAGTTATTGCAAGTATTTTTCTGTCCACCTTTCAAGTTCCTAACAAAGTTTATGAAAAGACAATTTAAAAGAATCATAATGTAAATGCCAAAACAAAAGCAAACCTGACTGACATCATTTGCTGAGTATTATAACAGTTCACTAAAACAATAACCTTTTCATCTCTAAAGCTGGGTGCAGGCTTCCTGAATTCAATAGTTTGCAAATATGGAACCAGCCAGGGCAGCTCATGGTTCCTTCTTCACCTTCCTCTCTAACCCGCAGCAAATTCTCCCATGCTTCTTATTACTTTTGATCATAGCTTTAGAATAATACATACACTGTCAATAATTATGGTCGATAACCTCTCATCTTGACTAAGATTTAAAACCGGGGTAGGCTGGGAGAGAAAGAAATTCACTCTGGACAAAGGAAGGACAAGGAATGTCTGTCTCCAAGGACACCTCCCGATTCTGCCAAATCACAATTTGCGATGAAACAGCGCTGCACCTGCCCTCTGCACCAGATGTAAATCTTGCTGCTGGTGGTAAATATTTTTAAACTCAATAACTGGCAGCACTTCCTAGTCATATCCATGCCATCCCTTTCAGCCATTGACAGAAAAGCACCTTTGCACAAATGGGATTGAGGCACCACGCTCACCTGCTACAAAGCAACGGTACCCAAGATTTATTCCTGATAGGAAGCCCAGATGACATAGCTACCTGTAATTCCCCATGTGCCTGTTTTCGTGCTCTTCTTTGGAGATCTGCTTGCGCACTTGTGCCAGTCTCTCCTTCTGAAAATCAAGAACATTTAAGAAATGATCAAACATGTTCCTTGAGGAAGGACAGAAAACAGAGGCTTGCTTATTCGTTTATTTGAGAAAAGCAATCTACCAGTTCCTCTCTCCTCCTTTCTAGGGAACGGCGCTGTTTCTCCCAGTCGGAAGACACCGGTGACAGCCTTTTCATGGAGCCTTGGCCGTAAAGCCTCTTCTGAGCTTCTGCTTTCTGCTTGGCTAGGTTTTTTCTTTTATCACTTGTCCTGAAACAGAAAAGCACAGCGATGAAAGGAAACCCAGAGAAGAAATGTATCCAGTGTGGTGTAGTGGTTAAGAGTGGTGGACTCATAATCTGGTGAACTGGGTTCGCATCCCCGCTCCTCCACATGCAGCTGCTGGGTGACCTTGGACTAGTCATATTTCTCTGAAGTCTCTCAGCCTCCCTCACCTCACGGAGTGTTTGTTGTGGGGGAGGAAAGGAAAGGAGATTGTTAGCCGCTTTGAGACTCCTTAGGGTAGTGATAAAGCGGGATATCAAGTCCAAACTCTTCTTCTTCTTCCATCAAAGAGGGGTGCCATCTGGTCTCACCTTCTCCTAGGCCTTTAAAACATTGGTGCATAGGAGCCGCTGGGCAAAAAAATTCATGGCATAGGGGCCTGCCGGTGAGTTTGCAGTCGCAACTCACCTGCTGGGAGGTGAGGGAAGCGTCTTCCCCTCCCCCCTCCCCCCACCCACAGTCACCATCACCGTCAGGGATGGTTCAAGGTTTCAGAGGCCTCTGAGAAAGGTGTCCTCCATGAGCTCCCTCAGAGCAGGGAAAGCTCCTTTCCTCAACTCCCATTGCCTGAGAAATGAAGAGTAGAAGCACTGGCAGCTGTACCAAGGAACTGACTGGCAGTGTGAGCAGAAGCTGCCTGCCCTCCCTTTCAATAGCAGCCGCTCTTCGCTGCTTGCCTGCACACTCTAATAAATAATAATAGTAATAATAATAATTCTATTATTTGTGTTATGTATCCAGTGGTCTGTGTTTGCCTGACCTTGAGTCTGGACTAAGGATTCTGAGCTCCTGTGTTCTGATTCGATACATGATATCCAATCACAGAACATTTCAAGATTTGGGCCTCTGCCATTGGCCCTTAAACTCCAAGTGATGATTCGCAACTTGGAAGTTTAGACTGCCAATCACGTTGGGAGTGGGAGTGGCCCAGGCCTTCAGAAATGTATATAAGCAGTTGCTTTGTCCCTGTTGTTCAGTTATGTAGTTCAATAAAGGTCCTTGTGTTATCACCATGTCTTGTCTTGTGGGAACCCACCTACACTTCAATTTGTACCCCACCCATCTGGCTGGGTTGCCCCAGCCACGCTGGGCGGCTTCCAAAGAAATATAAATGCATAATAAAACATCAAACCTTAAAAACTTCCCTATGCTGAGCTGCCTTCAGATGTCTTCTAAAAGGTGCACAGTTATTTATCTCCTTAACATCTGATAGAAGGGCGCTCCACAGGGTGGGTTCCACTACCGAGAAGGCCCTCTGCCTAGTTCCCTGTAACTTCACTTCTTGCAATGAGGGAACCGCCAGAAGGCTCTATGTGCTGGATCTCCGTGCCTGGGCCGAACAGTGGGGGGTGGAGACGCTCCTTCAAGTATACAGGGTCAAGGCTGTTTAGGGCTTTAAAGGTCAGCACCAACACTTTGAATTGTCGGCCACATGTTCTGGTGTTCCCGAGAGCTCAGATACATACTGGAAATACATCAACAGGAGACCAGCCTTGCTTTCCTGAAGCACAGCTCTTTCCACTGCCAACGGATTGCTGGGACAGCCAGAAAAGGCAGGCCGCCATCCAAGAAAGTGGGAAGGACACTGAGAATCAGCTGCAGGCCAGGGGGAAGCAATGGCGTTTATCTATCTGCCCTTGGGGACGAACAGGCAAGCAGCCAGCAGCAGCGGCAGGAATACTTCAGCCCATCTCCTCTGTGAGCAGCAGTTCAGGAAAAGATGGAGGAAGGTATTCAGGGCTGGGTACAGGGAAAGGAGCTTGACTGGAAGAGGAGAATTTAAAGGCATGGGACTGGAAAGCTTCGTTTGGGGAATGTAAAAGATGGAGTCAGCAGAAAGGATCTTGGAACGGGAATGTGTTTACCTTTTTCTATTTTGTGGTGGCATTTTATCAAGTTGTGGTATTTTATTGGATCTTTATTACAACAACTTAAAAAATAATAACCACACAAGAAATTGATTCATGCCAGAAGGAAAATAAAGCTAACTACATTTCCGCTCCGATTCTAGCTGCCAATCATAGAATTATTCTTTTTAAAGAACCAAATAAATAATCCACACCAATGAGGACACGAAGGAAATGCATCACATGGGAGGAGGCGCCCATAAAACATTTACAGCTGAAAGCATTCTAAAAAGTAGGATGGAAAACTGCAAAAACTTTCCTCTCGCTTGCAGTTTTCCCTCATTTATTCATTACTCCCCCTCAGACTGCCATAGCACTGAGCTAGCCCAACAGAATGTGCACGTCTGAAGGAATTTGGATTTCAAACGGCACCAGAAAGCTTCTGTTAAATGAAGTTGTTTAGAGGTCTCAATAAACAGCCAAAGAGCACAAAATTGAAATGAATAAAAGAAAAGAATGAAGACAAATTCATATTACTATAGCTAAAAAGAAAAAAGGGGGGAAGGGGGGAACGCAATTCATCAAAAGTCTGTAGTATTGTGCGCCAAGGAAGCAGAATTTGGGAGATAAGGGTGTGCTCCTTTTGATGACAGGAAAAGAGCAAGGCTTTTCCTTTACCATCTTTATGGTCACTATATACCCATCTTTATTCCCTCTCATGACTTAACTTAGCCCCAACATGAGATCTTCCTACTGTGGGTAGCAAATTTAAATCAGAGTGCTGCCTGAAGAAGCTGCCTGGGCCTTCTACAGCTCCCGCATCAAACAAAAGATTTAACTAACATATCTTCTGATGAGGGAACAATGTTAAATTTGGCTCAGAAGAATTTAACATAAACCACAAGTTTCCTATGAATCATTTACAATGACTTTGGTATATCATGATGTAAATGTATCTCTATTCCCTCCCCCCTCCAAAAAAAACCAAACAACAACTAACGAAAAGAACAACAGGGGAAATGTAATTTTACCTTATATTGAGCAGCTTTAATGCATTCAGCAGGACACCTTTTTTCACATCATAGTCTATTTTTTGGTCAGTACCAAAGCTCGGGGCTCGGTTAATCTGAAAAAAATTATAGAGGACAGAACATCTCCAGGAATGTCTTAATTCACAAAATAACCGTGAGGTACGCTCCCACACAGACATAACACTGGGGCCCAGTTTTCAAATGCCAAACACCCCCACTCTCAAGCATTATTTCAAACTATTTGGTAATATTTGGGGGGGGGGTGCATGCATGAAGGCCCCAACATCCCCCCCCCCGCCCCCAGGTCTGAATGGGGATTCTTCATGTGTTCACCAAAAACACACTTTGAATCATCCCCATGAGTGCAAACACTGAGGAACCAGATTTCTTTATTGAAGGTTCTTAGCCCATGGATAATGCCTTCCTGCTCAACTTGGGAAGTTCACTGTCTTGGCATCACTGTGAAGAGGGCCCTGTCTCTTGTGTCTGTCCACTCAGGGACACAAGGGCATCTGAAGATTATCTGGGTAGGTTTGGATAGATCTGAAGTGTGTCATTCAAACTGTCCGGAACATTGAAGTCAAAAGGGACGCCTTCAGTTTTTTTGTTTTTTTGTGTGGAAACCAGAAAAAAAAAAAGGTAAAGGACCCCTGGACGGTTGCGGGTTGCGCTCATCTCGCTTTCAGGCCAAGGGCGCCGGCGTTTGTCCACAGACAGCTTTCCGGGTCATGTGGCCAGCATGACTAAACCACTTCTGGTGCAACAGAACACCTTGACAGAAACCAGAGAGCACGGAAATGCCATTTACCTTCCCACCGCAGCAGCATCTATTTATCTACTTGCACTGGTGTGCTTTTGAACTGCTAAGTTAGCTGGGACAGAGCAACGGGAGCTCACCCTGTCACGGGGATTCAAACTGCTGACCTTCTGATCGGCAAGTCCAGGAAGCTCAGTAGTTTAGACCACAGCGCCACCCACGTGGAAACCAGTGCATATGATGTAATATTAGGACTGTAGGTTTAACTTTTCCAGCTTCAGTTAACAGTGTGGCAGCTGCATTCCAGAGCAACAGAAGCTTTCAATCCTGTGTAGGGCATGTTAACAGTCCCACTGGGACTTGACTATACATTATAAGCTCCTTGAAGAAAGGATGTGTGAATGGTCGACATAGATGAGCACTCCTAGCCACTACTTCCACTTGTGTATCTAGGATCAAGGCTGTATCTAGAATCTGCTTCCAACCTGCCATGTTCATCATCCAGTTTTCAGCTGCACTCTTCCTTCTCTTGCCCTTATCCTCCTCTGTCTTCTTCCTCTCTGGACTCGCCATTTTGCAAATCCTCGACTTTTGCATATCCTCCTTTGACGGCACACCATATCATTCTCTTCAATCTAGTCCTGTGTGAGCCAGCTAGGACAATTTCTTGTGTTGACAAGGGCGCTCTCTCTCCCACTTACAAGCGGAAGACATCATGCAACCACTGCTCTCGCGAGGAAGCTCTAGACAGCGTAAACTGGAGGACCGGTTCATTGATTTCATGTAGGACATTTCTGTCCCACTCTTGTGTACTACACAGTGTTCACATAAAACATTGCGGCCGATCAAAAATGCAAAAATAAAAATAAATCAACGCTTGAACCAAAGTTCAGTTCAGAAACAACAGGGAGTCTGAAGAGGCATGTTGTGATGCATTCAACACGGAAACAAGAGGACTCTGTCTCTGAAGAAATGCAGCTATTGATGTATTAGGCTCTGTATATATTACCAGCTTTAAACTAGGTTTTCTCATTTCGGATCAAAGGTGGTTTTGGGGTAAATGCATCAAAACACAGTATTTCATAAGAAACTACAGGATAGACACGGATGGTGACTAATGTGTGAAAACTGCTTCCCAAGCCAGTGGTTAATAAAATTAGTTAATAGAAATAAACAAGTTAATAAAATGAATGTTCCAGAAGGGACACTATTGCTCTGCTTGCAGGATAATCTTCCATGTTTCTTCCACTAGATGGTGCAAGCACTTCCATCTTTAAAACAAGACACAAGGCCGGGACAAAGAGGGAGCAAATATTTGACTTGTCTACACTTGCTCTCTCTGAAAGTGGGGGGTGTATCATGAAAAGGGACTTCCCGACCACTGATAAAACCCATTCATATTTTAAATCACCATCTCTTTTAAGCTCTTTTATGCACTGTGAAAAAGCTCTCGTCCAGGAAGGCCTTCTATGATTAGTTCTACTGGGTATATGCTGGCTTTGAGACACGGCCAGCCTTTTCAGAAGGTAAGAAGATCCACCTAGTCCAGCATCCAAACAGATGAGAATGATGGAGAGCCTGGAGGAACAGCCCTCTGCACTCTTCTCCTGCTCCCAGCAAATAAAATGCAGGGCTGCCAAAATCCATCAATTATGATCTGGGTTAGCTTTGCTCAATGACCTGGCTGTTTTCATACATGGTTCAGAGATTTTGCATTGCATCCTTTTTGTAACACTTAGAAACTGTTAAGAAGGTCTGGTATCTAATGGAGCAGACCAACGGCCTATCTATTTTATTTTATCTTTGGTAATTCTTATTACATTTTTCTGTTAAAATGTCAATGACTTCCCTTCCTCTCTTTCCATGGTTCATTTTGCATATCATAAATCCCTGCAGATTTTACGTAAACTAAACCATTTGGCATTCCATCAAAACTTATTTACACAGCTGAATTGATCTTAATGCCGCCAACGTTTTCAAGTGCACACAATTTTCCCCCCATATATTCAATAAGCGTTTTCCAATCTTCTCTAAACGTGTGTTCTCTTAGTTCTCTTATTCTATACGTTAAGTCTGCAAGCAGCGCATTTTCCATCGGCTGAAGTTGCCATTCTTCTTTAGTCGGGACCTTGCTTGGTTTTCCATTTTTGGGCTAACAAAACATGGGCCACAGTAGTGGCATACATAAATAACCTTTTTTGACACCTGGGAATTTCCGTCTGAATTATCACCCAACAAAAAGGACTCTGGTTTTTTTTGGAAATGTATACTTTTAAACAGTTTTCTCCAATTCATTATGGATTATTTCCCAATACTCTTTACCATTTTACAGGTCCACCACATATGAAAGAACGTTCCCTCAATCTCATTGCATCTCCAGACCAATGGTCCATCTAGTCCAGCGCAATGATCTCACTGTGGCCAACCAAAGCAAGACCTGAGTGCAGCAGAGCTTTCTCCAAATGTGATTCCTAGCAACTGGTGTTCTACAGTGGAGGTAGAACATAGCCATCATGGCTAGGGCTGATGATAGTCTTCTCCTCCATGTCTAAGGTAAAGGGTAAAGGGACCCCTGACCATAAGGTCCAGTCGTGGCCGACTCTGGGGTTGCGGCGCTCATCTCGCTTTATTGGCCGAGGGAGCCGGCGTACAGCTTCCAGGTCATGTGGCCAGCATGACTAAGCTGCTTCTGGCAAACCAGAGCAGTGCACGGAAACGTCGTTTACCTTCCCGCCGGAGTGGTACCTATTTATCTACTTGCACTTTGAGGTGCTTTCGAACTGCTAGGTTGGCAGGAGCAGGGACCGAGCAACGGGAGCTCACCCCATCGCGGGGATTCGAACCGCCGACCTTCTGATCTTGTCTTATTATTGTTACTATTTTAAAGCAGCTTACCTCTAGGAGCCATGGCTTGAGTTTTCTGTCCAGCAGGATATCAAACCCCAGAACTTCAAAGCAAACACTGTCACTTCCTGGAGACTGTCCTGGCCTACACATACGGTAAGCGTGAAGGACATGGGGCTCTGCTACTATGAGAGTCTTCACCACTAGTTCCTGGGGAATTGTGCAGAGAAGAGAGAGATGGGGGAAGCAGCATCGTTATTTATCTAGGTGTTATTTTGTTTTGTTTCATTTCAGATCACCAAAAGGCATTAAGCAATACACATTCAAATACAAGAGACAAGACTGACTGTGCAAAATTAAGGAATCTAATCAACAGCTGGTTTCACTCTAAATCACAGGGGCACATAAACAAACTGAATTTTGTTTAATGCGTTTGTCACTCGGCTGAAACAATCTGATTCTTGTGTCAATTTCCCAGCCTCAAGCCTTGAAAGAAGGCTTTGTATGAAACATCATCGAGTTTGCACTCTGCCAAATAATTTAGCTATATAAAAATGTGCATCCAAAGAAGAACCTGCAATGAGTCAAAAACCAGATTGCGTCCCAGTCCAAGCCAAGAAGTGAGGAGCACTCGTAATAGGCCAACATAAACATTGAAAACAGCTATTGCATTATTAGTTTTCTCTTACTGAAATATCATTCCAGAATTTGGAAACGTCAAGGTGATTTGTTTGCAGAAACTCAGTAAACCACTTTATAGAGCGCTTACTGCCTTTATCTTCTGTTTCGTCCCGCTCAAAACGCTCATTATGCTTATTCACAGAGTAGTTGGTCAGGTGCATAAACAGCTGGCTCTGAAAGGAAGGGAAGATAGGAAAGGGTCGCTACTGAGCTACAGGTACAAAGACAGTTCATGGACATTAATCTGAGGTAAGCCTTTCTCCGGATGCTGCCACCAATTGACATGCCACAGGTGGCTACTGGGAAAAGATCCTTCTCACTGTTAGCCCCCCCCCCCAGCTCTCTCCAAAGTTGCTTGTCTCCTTTGGGTTCCATCTGGTGACAGGAAAACACCGTTTTATTTTTATTCCAGGCCTTTTAAGATCATTTCTACAGTCATATGATGGTCCTTAGGAGGGTGTCCCAAGGACCGTACTTATTTAATGCCAGTTATATCTCACAGGAGCCCAAGACTGTGTAATTAATCCTCCCCCCCCCCCATATTATCCTCACATTGGACCTGTTAGCAGGGCTATTTTCTAGCTGGAACTCTCCGGAAACTCAGTTCCGGTAGCTCATATGTAGGCGCCATTGCCATTCAAAGAGTATGAGGGAGGTGTTAGTTGCGAGTTCTGGCACCTCTTTCTCTAGAACAATAGCACTGCCTGTTACGTGAGAATCAGAGTTCATGACTGGAACAAAGTCACTTGGTGAATTTCATGGTCGGCTGGGAATTTGAATTCTGGTCGCCCAGGTCCAAGTCCATTGTCCTGATCACTATACCATACTTGCTTTCCATAGGAAGATTTCCCTCGAAGAGGGTGGAGTGAGAGCTCCGACCACAAAGAGGGACACTCAATGTCTGTTCCAAGTGAAAGGAAAATTGGGTTGCTGGTTTTTTAAAAAGCAGAAAATGATTAAATACAAGATGGCTGCTGCATCCTCACTTCCAGCCCAGAAGTGTACTGGATGAGGCAGCTCAGGTGAGCATTTGGTTCTCCTTCACCCCCAACACACATTAGGACTGCAGCCCTAATCTTTGAAATCCTGGGTAGATCTGCTACATCATCATTTTAAGCTTAGCAGCTGCACTTCAACATTTACTGATAATGAAAGCCGCTCAGAAAACATTGCTATTGGGATAGCAACAAGAAAATGAGACAAGGCCTTTCCACTACAAGATGCAAGTATGTAGCTTAACTGTCCTTTTCAAGGCACAATTTGTATTTTCTGTATCATTGCAATTATCCCAAGGCCAGGGAGATGTCAACAACATAGGATTCTCTTGTGCTGGAGTTTCCAGGGCAGCGGGAACATCTGGAACTTCTTCCAAGGACAAGTGTCTCTTCTAGTTTGATATTCTCTCTCTGAATTTACAGCCACGAGGGTGAAAAGTTAGAGCTGAAGGTCACGACACACTCATGTTGTCCACAGATTGTAAAAAGGCATGAAGAGGGGAGTCTGTTCTACTTGCATGGTTCCAAGTCACAGTAGAGATTACATATTCAGAGAAAGCTCCCCACCTCCCATTTCAGACCTTCCCAGTACATAGCTGGGGGGCAAGCAGGGATGGTTAGGGGGTGGAGTCAGCAGGCACAGCCTTGTTTCCACACACAACAAAATGTTAAACGTGTGATCCTGAAGGAACACGTGAACAGTGTTTTCTGAGTCTGTATCTTATTAGCTAGCTGATGTGAATCACAGGCTCCAACACAAGGTGGCCCGGGTGAACAAGGACTAGAATTTGCCTAACTAAATTGTGCACTGTTTTTTTTTTTTTCTTTTTTGCTCAAAATGCCATTTCCTTTTCCTCTTCTGGCACCTAAACTATTTTGTGCTGCACTCAGAAGTGTTCCATTTGATCCTAACAACCACTTACCAGATTTGAATCATTGGGAGGATGATACAGCTCTGTGCCCATCCTCACTAGCCCGTCATGATATAAAAATATTTTTAAGGGATCACAGGAAGTCACCAGAATGTACACTCTTAGATCAAATTTGTAGCCTTCAATAAGAAAGGGCTTGTCAAGATATTCCTGGACTATGAGGTGTTCCTGAGAATGAAGCTTCTCTGCATTTCTTGTGAGGGAGATCCTGGTTAAAAGGCACAAAGATAGGTTTTAAACACAGAAAGTTAAGTAAACCCTCAGAAATACAATTACAGCTCTGACAGATCATTTGACCCGAACAGTTCAGAAACTGAGGTTTGTAACTTGCTTTAACAAGACATCAACTTGGTGCTCTCCAGATGCTGCAGTCCGGTAACGTCTAGAGGGCACTAAGCTAGCAAAGGGTGTCTAAGGCCATACACAACTAACAACAACAGCTTATTTATATGCTGCCCATCTGACTGGGCTACCCCAGCCACTCTGGGCTGCTTCCAACAAATTAAAACACAACACGGCAAACACAAAACTTCCCTATACAGGGCTGCCTTCAGGTGTCTTCTAAAAGTCAGATAGTTCTTTATCTCATTGACATCTGATGGGAGGGAGTTCAACAGGGCAGGTGCCATTACTGAAAAGGCCCTCAACTTGGTTCCCTGTAACCTCACTTCTCTCAGTGAGAGACGCTCTTCAGGTATACAGGGCCAAAGCCATTTAGGGATTTAAAGGTCAGCACTAACACTTTGAATTGTCGGCCATATGTTCTGGTGTTCCCAAGAGCTCAGATAAGTCCCCTTGCTTTTGAAGCCTGGTTTTACACTAAAGCAATGCAAAATGATCTCCAACACATTTAGGACCAAGGGTGCTATGGTGATCCCTTCGTGTGGCTTCATTGTCACCACTGGAGATTGTGCTCATTGACTGAAGTAAAATCAACAAGTTAAGGAATTAAATCAGCTTTTTAAGTCATAAGGTTCTCCAGAGAGTCTATCCAGCTGCTTTGTTATGAGTGCCATCAATTACGTTTCAATGGCCTCTCACATATTTACCTTTAAAAAAATCCTGCCCTGGAAAATGGTTGAAGCTTTATTTAAAAGAAACCATGCTGTAAACGAGCATGAATTATTTCACCCTATTACACCATTTCATACTAAGAAATGACTAAAAATCATTTATTGCTGCTAAGCCTGGGCAAACAACTTTAACAAACAAATAAAAACGAATGCGTGTAACCGTTTTTACTATTGTATGAAAAATCCGATTGACATCATTGTTGTTATTTCTAAATTCATGGGTCATATTTACAAAGAACAATATAATCTATATTCAGTTCAATTCACGGTAATAGTAACAGCAGACGAGACACGAAATTGAAGAACCTGTAAGCAGCCTTCCCATGAGCCCCAGCCTCCACCTCCCATCAGCCCCAGCCAAGGCATCCAATGATCATGGACGATGGGAGTTGTAGTCCAGCAACATCCGGTAGGCATCAAGCTGGAGGAGGCTGACTTAAAGAAGCTTCTTTAAACCCTGCACATACCCATGCCCCATTGCACCGTTAGCTGGTTTGACGATGAATGTTTTCTGTCTTCGTTTTCTCTTGAGTTCTTTTACATAATTCTGGAATTGTGTGTACTCTGCTGGGAAGATCCACGTTCGAGGAATAAAGCTGTACTCCTGAGGCTGAGATTTGATCATTCTGGGGAAAAGAAGAAGAAGAATTGCCAAAATGGCAAAACTTACCGGAACAATAAGAAACCAAGAAAGAAAGAAATTTTATTAAAGAATGGGGGGGGGGGAATCTGTGGAACGCTGGACAAGTTTTTGTAAACATGCAAGTTCGTTAGAGGATTAATGTAAAAACAAGCAGTTAAATGCGGTGCTTTTTTTCTATTTAAAAAATGTTTAGGGGTCCTCTAATTTTCCTACTCATATTGAAATACTGCCCCTCAATGAGGCCAAACTTAGATTCACAAAATGTTTAGGGGTATGCATACCCCTGCGTCCCCCCCCCCCCCAGAAAAAAAGCACTGGTTAAATGTAATGCTAAAGATAAATCGGGGAGTAGGTAATAAACAGAACAATGTAGGAAATGCAGTGTTGAAAAATTAAAACTATAAGAAACTGCAAAAGGGGTGGAAGAAAGTCAAAACATATGTGTTTGTTGGGAAATTATCAGATCTGTATGTCTGTAAAACTTTTAAATAGAAGAAGAAGAAGAAGAAGAAGAAGAAGAAGAAGAAGAAGAAGAAGAAGAAGAAGAAGAAGAAGAAAGGAAGGAAGGAAGGAAGGAAGGAAGGAAGGAAGGAAGGAAGGAAGGAAGGAGAGTTTTCATATTTTGTGGCTTAAGCCTGCTGTGTTTCAGTATCAGATACTAACAGACTGGGCCTCCAACTGTTCCACTGGAGCAAATGGGTTGTATTTAACACAGTCTGCGTGAGAGTGAAATGGACTTCTGCTTGCACAATAGCCTTGACTTACCTCTCCTCCCTGCAGCACCCTCAAAATCTGCTCTAGAGAATTAGGAACCTTCCAGAGCAGATTCTGGGAGGTGCACAGGCTGCAGGGGAAAGAAGAGGAAGAGGAAGTCCCATTGTATGAGAGGAGGATCGCTTACACAACATCATATTCCACTCAAGGTCATCGATATGAACAGGGTACGTACCAAAACGACACAAAAACAACCTGTAACGTGTAGTATCACCACAAAGGTTTGCCGACGTAACAGAGAACATTATTAACTTAACAGCAGGATTACAGAACAGTCAAAAGGGGATTTGCTATTTAATATTCCCGAGTTCAATTATGTACTGCACAGTCTGAAACTTCCTCCAACAACTCACAGGGAAACCCTAAGGGATAGAATTTTCATTTGTACCATTTACACTATTTGCAGTTTATTCCTTCATTTACAGGGGGGTAAGGCAGGGACACATTCATGGGAATTATTGCTCATTCTATTCACTGATACTTCTGACGTAAAGGGGAACCTTGATATGCCTAAAGTTTGAGGTATTTAAAGAGTTGTTTGTGCAGGGAAACATTAGAAGAAACATGTGCACTATGCCACCCTGTGCGACATGTAGACAGCAAACAAAAACCTAAGAGCTTTGGATGCAATGTATTGATTCCGCAAGGAGATTGTGCAGGACTGCCATTGGAAAGAAGAAGAAGAAGAAGAAGAAGAAGAAGAAGAAGAAGAAGAAGAAGAAGAAGAAGAAGAAATTTTATTTATATCCCGCCCTCCCCAGCCGAAGCCGGGCTCAGGGCGGCTAACAACAATCAAATAATCCAACATTCTAAAAACATTTCATTATAAAAATTAATTAAAATCAAATTGATGGCAAGAAGAGGTCTGTGCTTTAGATTTCTTGCCTCATTACGAAAGTTGAAAAAACTGACAAGCACATCTGCAAAACCAGGACTGCAGCCAAGAACATCAAGGCCTCAGTACAATAGATAGCCTGTCACAAAAACTACTCGCTAACAGCGCAACAAAACACAATTGCCACTGTAGTTTTTTTTTATAGCTGTGCTCAGGATCATTATAGATCCAAATACTGGCACTGCAGTAACTCAGATTACAACCGAGGTACCACACACAAAATTGTATTACAGTCTCGTTTAGCAGCTCAGCTAGGTTTTTTGATGTTTGTACTTCTACAAAAGTAACAAAGGGACTTATTCTTTCATTCAAACGAAATGCCAATTCATCTCACTCAATCTGGGGGTCTCCATCCATTGAAAGGCATTCCACATGAGGCGATATGAACCCTCTTTGTGATTGAGCGTGATTTGTGATGTCTTTTGTGCAAGCTGGTCATCAGGTGATAAACATGGTTGTAGGAACGGGGCCAATGGCTCAGTATTGTATTCTCCAAAGTATGCTATCTAACAGATTAGACTCACATACACTTGGTGGTTGTTTCAGTAATTCAGAGCTCAGGGATGCTGATGCACACAGCTGATCCTCTTTCCCACTTACTAATCCACAAGACAAAAGATGGGGAAATCTCATTAGCAGCAAAAGTGACAATAATCCACAGAAAGAAAGAAACCCACATATGGGAGCTTTCTTTTTCCTAGGAACAACTCCTTCCACTAGTGAGCTGAAATACTGACGCTTTCAATCTTTGCCTGGGCCTCAGGCCACTTATGTAAGCCCCTTTTGAATGAAAGCTAATGGAGCTCATGCCAGAGAACTTTCCTCTATTCCACCTTTCATTCTTGCCAAGAATGTGAACATTTCCCTCTCCTATTCTGGGCAAAGTTTAAACTCAGGATACCTCTCTGCACAGAATGACAAAACTCATCAGAAGAGGACTTATACCTTTCAAAATCAAGGTGAGCAACTACGAGCACCTAAAATGGAAAGATGTGATCCTGTTCTTATTCCCATTTGCACCAAGAGGATGGCTGCTGCACATGTGTAAAATATAAAGATGTGCTCAGAAGGGGTCTTTGTTCAATTTAGGCCCAGATTTCCTACCGGGCCAGGGCTCAGTGGTAGACCACATGCTTTGAACAAAGAATGTCAAGGAGTTCATAGAATCATAGAGTCGGAAGAAACCCTGATGATTTGTCTAGTCCAGTGGTGGCTAAACTTGGCCCTCCAGCTGTTTTGGGACTACAACTCCCATCATCCCTAGCTAACAGGACCAGTGGTCAGGGATGATGGGAAATGTAGTCCCCAAACAGTTGGAGAGCCGAGATTGGCCACCACTGAATTAGTCCAACCCCCTGCAATGCAGGAATCTCAACTAAAGCATCTAGGGTTAGGAAAGATCCCTACTGTATCCTTCGGAAAGCTACTTCCAAGGTAGTTGATATGGAACCAGATAGACCAATAGTTTGTCTCAGTATAAGGCTACTTCCTATATCCATTCTGGTGCTCCTTCTGGTCCTCTCTTCTTGCACTTCCATATTACTGGCCTTGTGAGTCTTGGCAGCCCTTTCTAATATAGTAGAGATATGGAAAAGCAAGTGACTCTTTATCGGGAGCTGCTCTAAGGCCTTGTAGATTAGACGGGATGCCCTATATAGCAATAGAAGGCATTCATTCTTTCTCTCTCTCTGTCTCTCTCCCTCCCTGCAAAAGGCAAAATGGAAGCAGGTACCATAAACCCAAACACCGACTGCAACAGACGACAACAGTCTAAGCACATCTACTTCCTTATTTTATAATAGCTCTGAATTGCACATCAAAATGTATTAACTTTTTGAAGCCAAGGCGGGGATGAGAAGATAAGAGATGAAAATATGGGGCAACGGGGCTTGTTGCCGAATCCAATTTTCTCAGCTGGTGTCCTCAGATACATTGTCATGCCTGTCACTGTTCCTTCCCCCCCCCCCCCATTCACACAGTTGCCTCTAGACATCCTCTTTAGAACAAAAGAGAGGAGATTTGTTTTGCCACTTCTACAGCATGCTTTCTTAAAATGAACTCCCAGCTACGCTATAATTAATGGGTATGATTCAATGTCGCACAAACGTCGGATCTGCATGAGCATTTTAGCCTGCCAGACAGAACAATCCCCCGCCTCTCGCTGCATGCTGTTCTGGGGGGGGGGATCGCCCAACCAGCCTGACCGTATTTTGAGGGGCACAAGGCAAGGAAAGGGGGGCGAGCTCTGTTGAGCGATTGAAAGCCCATGATTCAAAATTGTTCAATCTGCCCAAGTCTTTTTTCCCATTTGTTCTAGGGCTAAGCTAAATGCCAAGGTGGCAGACCCATGTTTTAAACGCAGGTCTGCCCCACCCTCATAGAAATGAGGGTGAGTGATCCAATTTTAAGAGAAAAAGCAACACGCAGTTGAGGAATGCTAACCACCTGCAAGCAACCTATGCCATATCCCCTCCTCACAATTCTTTTCCCCAATAGTACTTTTTCTCTGAGTTGGGCTCCAGAACCAGAAATGATCTGGTTACTGGATGGAGCCATAATTCCACACCCCTAGCCTGTTTTCCTCTCTCCCCCTAAGAATTTTTCTTTCTTTCTGCAGATCTGCATTAAGCTACATGGTCTTTAATTTGAAAAGCTCAGATTCTTGGGAATCTAACCAAAGCGTACAGTTCACACAAAACAATTTAGGTGACCATCCCTGCATGAAGGAGCTAGATAGCAGGTGCTGCATTGGTCTATATCTTTGTTCAAGATCCTAATTCTTCACACACACACAGAAATAACATGATATCAATAAGGGACCTGATCTCATAACCTTCACTTTATGCAGGGAGCTCTCATCAAGACCATACAAAGGACTCTGTGCAGAAAATTGCCTTTTGGCAATATCCCAACAACAGCAGGGACCAGGGCTGCTCAAAGCTCCAGACATTGGTCCAAGAACCAAACAGGCATTTTGCCCTAGTTGAGGAACACATGCACTAAGACATACCTGGGGAAATGGTTACATACAAAACCCATCTTTTTATTTCTTGTCTGCTGCTTGGAAAGATTTCCCTACTTCTTTGGGGTGAAGCTATTGGAAGATATATATATTCAATATTCCATTATTACATCCATCAAAACCTATTTACACTGTTGAATTTATCTTAATGCTGCCAACGTTTCCATGTGTACACAATTTCCCCCCATATATTCAATAAACATTTTCCAATCTTCTTTAAACGTATGTTCTTCTAGTTCTCTTATTCTATATGTTAAGTCTGCTAGCTGCGCATATTCCATCAGCTTAAGTTGCCATTCTTCTTTAGTTGGGACCTCGCTAGTTTTCCATTTTTGGGCTAACCAGCTATTGGAAGCTTTTTACCACGCTAATAAGAGTGTGCAGAGCAGTTTCCTAACCAGTCAAGCCAGAGGATCGGGCCACACTAATAACAACATAAGGGAAGTTCATCAAAAGAAGAGCCCATAAGAAGGCCCATCTACTCCAACATTGTGTTTCCTACTGTGGGCAACCAGATACTTCTGAGACGTTCACAAGTAGGGCATGGAAGAAACAGTCCTCCCTTTCTGTATCTCCCATTCAAATGATATTCTAGTGAACTGCTGATTCTGAATCAGAGTGTTCCCCATAACTATTGTGACTACACAGCCATCTGTCACTCACAACAGGGTCTTGATAAAACTCGGGGGCTAAAACTGACCCACAAGGTCCCTAGATGGCAGAAAACAATGCTACATTACCAAAAAAAAAAAAAGAGTTTATTAAACTGCGCTCCTTTACACACAAAAATTAAAAAGGAAATTACTTGGTCATGTTTCTTGCTAAGAAATCCTTCCTACAGATCTCGCCCATTCCTGGAAAGTGGTTGATTCTCTGGCGGGAGAAAAGAGGGAAAGACGTACGTTAGGGAAGGGTCAGCAATTGAATTTACCAGAATTTATTTTAGACTTGTAACAAACTCAGTACCTACAAGAGACCGCTATTAATTATGCTAGGTAGATGCTGGAAATCTATTAGACAGCATGGACCTGTTTAATTATTACAGTGGTACCTTGGTTCTCAAACTTAATCTGTTCCGGAAGTCTGTTCCAAAACCAAAGCGTTCCAAAACCAAGGCATGCTTTCCCATAGAAAGTAATGCAAAATGGATCAATCTGTTCCAGACTTTTAAAAACAACTCCTAAAACAGCCATTTAACATGAATTTTACTATCTAATGAGACCACTGATCCATAAAATGAAAGCAATAAATAATGTACTGGAGTCACACAATCAATCAATCAGTAGCTGAACTGGGTTCCACACACCCACAAAAACAAAACAAAAAAGCCGCAAAAAAATCCAACACAAAATAAATAGCAAAAACAGACAGACCTCAGGGTGACACTCAAATTGGAAGTGTGGCACTCCAATCGGAAGCGTAACACTCAAAACGGAGCACTTTTGGCATCCGGAAAAAGTTCGCAAACTGGAACACTTAACTTCCGGGTTTGCAGTGTTTGGGTTCCAAGTTGTTTGAGTACCAAGGCATTTGAGAACCAAATACTGGGTTTCAGGTGCTCAGTCTCCACCCCACCCTGCCAAGCACTGAAATACCATATAAGAGAGCTATGGGGCTGCATGAGCTGCTCCTAACTTCTGCTGCATGCAAGAGCCATATCCCCACGTTCCACTGCTGTGTCAAAAGGAAGAATAAGATTGGGCGTGTAGTGGAGATGCAGCTAGCCTTCACGGCTCCACAACCGCCCTTTTGAAGTGTGCAGTGATGTGACCCCCTCCTACTTATAGCAATGTATGGGGCCTTATCGTTCCTACCCCCTTTAATCTTATAGCAATTGCACGTGGAGGATTATCAACATTTTCCCTTTAAATGAAGCAGCATGAGAAGCAAAGGGGCACCATGTTGGGTTGACGGCTGTGCCAGGATCTAGACTTGGGGTAGCCAACATGGGCCACAAGGTGTGGGAAACAATTCTCATCAGTTCCAGGGGGCAACGACCAGGGAGGATGGGAACTGGAGTCCTCAACTTCTGGGGAGAACCACGGTGACTACCCCTGATCTCCCAGACTTACATCCAAGCACACTAGTTACTGGGACCTCTTTGTGGAACTCCATTAACTAAGTTCTGGGCAATCAGATTTCCTTTTAGGAAAACTGAAGCAAAAACAGAAGAGAAAAGGCTCGTTGATAAGCACAGAGGAAAGGGTGAATCAGTGGGCTGCTCTTCAGGTGGGCATATCTGGGTAAACTCATCTACAGAGAAGTAGTGACTGACTTATAGGCATGCAGATCAGGCGAGGGCCCATTTGAATGAAGACATATAATCAGCATGCCAACACTTTCGCTTGCTTACTGTATTTAACCGATGCACAGAAGCCTGAGAGGGCTTTTCTGATGTTACCAGCTTTTGGTTTGGGAACAAGAAAAGCTGTCCATCAGCTTCAGGTGGTGCAGCAGTAGCAAAAAGGTATTTTTGTGTGTGTGTGTGGAGAGAAATGTGCAACCACCAAATGCAGAATCAGTTTGCACATCACCGCCCCCCCCAATGGAATCCAGGAGACCTCTGCCAACAGGAAAGTCAGCTCTTGCTTCCCATTATGTCAGTAGAAGGTAATGGGTACATAATCATGAATGCACAATCAAATATAAAGATTTCTCCGCGCGCACACACCAAAGGTTGAGCAACACAGAAATGTTATTATTTCTTCTACTGTCCCGATCAAGGTGCCCAAGGCTACCTGGTTATTTCTTCTTTGTACCTGGTAGTTTCGGAGCTCGGCAATCTTTTCCTGCTGCACGGCGCAATCACTCCAGATGAGATTTGCAGTCTCATCGTCGTCCCGAGTCTTTACATAGCCCATTTCTTCTATTACTACGCGTACTGCAAGAGAGGAATAGGTACATGGGGGGGAAATCAAACTAGACTCCCAGGGAAAGTACACATAATTTAGTCATACAGCAGTACTAGCACACAGGCTATTATTGGGTTTTTTTTAAAAAAAAACTTGTGCTGCTCACCTTGCGATATTTAATTTTGCAAATCTAATCCTGCCGATTGCATAGTTTTAATCATTGCGCTGCTGGGGCTGGGAGCAAACATTAGCTTGCTAAAGGAACCGACAAGAGCTTGTCGCTCAACCAAAAATGATGGAGGAATAACCTATTTAGTTCTCAGCTGCATCTCTGACACGAGATCGGCAGCAATATGTTGGCTGTGAAACGGGATGAGAAGGTTGACCTCACAAGCAAGGGTGGTTTCTTATCTAGGCATAAATAATCAAACAGAAATCTGTTGGTGTGCACACAAGAGGTTGGTAGAGCGATTGCTCGTGTCTGACCTACCAAAGCAGGGGGAGAGGTCACAGCTGTAAAACGAGCAAAGGGGACTCACAGAACTGTAGAGTTGGAAGGGCCATGTATCCCCCTGCAATGCAGGAATATGCAACGGTCCCATATGGGGATCAAACCTGGAAGAGCCATAGCTCAAGGTCAGAACATCTGTATGGCATGCAGATCCAATCCCCAGCATCGCCAGTTAGATCTGGGAGAGAGCCAACCCTGAACCCCTGGAGGGCCACTGCAAGTCAGGGTAGACAATACTGAGGTCTGCTTTGGCTGCTTCCTGTTTTTTCTTCCAATGTATCTAAAGGCAACAGAGCGATGCTTGAGTCTTATGAAACAGAGGGGATATCAGAAGACCCAGTTGCATTTGTACGAGTATGGAAATCTTTTTACGGAAAGGGCAGCTGGAGACCTGCCATATGACCCCCCTCCAGAGAATGACGTTCTGAATGGTAATTACAGGAAGACTATTCAAATGACAACGCCCTCGTCATAAGCCCCCAAGACCTAATTTCCTGTGACTAAACTCAGAAGGTAAAAAGCCAACCTCCGGCCCAGCAAGAAATGCGCTCTCTGCTCTTTTGCAAGCCATGTGTAAAATTAATGTGAAATGGGTGAGGCGTTGAGCTTAATGCACTGTGAGTAGTCCTGTTAAACGTTAGACGCTGGGATGGTTTAATAGAAGGCACTTAACGCACACATTCCAGCAAATATGCGAGCTCTTACAGAACCGGGACTAAGCCTTTAAGCAGCTATTCTCTCTCAGGTGACATTTCAACCAAGCATAAATAAACCAGTTTTAGGGCGCTAAGACTGGCTGCTGACTCTGCATCCAAAACATCTGGAAGTGCGACTCGTACAGCAAAGGTTGATGCAGGCTGTAGGCCTGATCAGTGCCTGGGTGGGGAAATATTCGGAGTTTCATAAAGGCAGTCTGGGTTTATAGAATCATAGAGTTAGAAGGAGACTCTGGAGATCATCTAGTCCAACCCCCTGCAATTCAGTTAATACTCAAGTGCCCCATATGGGGATCAAACCTACAACCTTGGCATTATCAGCACCATGCTCAGTCTAACCAACTGAGCTATTCTCTCGGTGGCTAATTATAATAGTTTTTTTATCTTAAATTTGTATATTTCATCTGAAGATCCCAGGGTGGTTCATCAATTCCCTAAGAACATAATAAGATCAGACCAGAAATTCGAGTAGCCCGCTTATTTCTCGCAGTAGCCAACCAGATGCCCATGGCAACCCACAAGCCACAACAACAATAGTATCACGCTCTATCATACTTTGACCTGGAAGCTTTTTTAGCTATGTAACTGTCCTTGCTCCATCCACTTTTCTTTATTCTTATCACATAATTTAATTGTAAGGTAAGCAGAATATGTAGCTTGCTACCGATCTCATATTTGGTGCCAGCGACATTCGCAGTGATTGCTCCGTGTTTCTTCTTCTCTCTGACTTTCCTCCTTATTGTGCTTTGGTAAGGCAGCTCCGAGCTCAAAGTCAGAGAAGAGGTCCCTTGGTTATCTGTTTAAAAATAGGGAGGGGGAGGAATAAAATTCTATATCACCGTCACAAAGTTCTCGCAAGTAGTTACAAAAGATGAACTGAACACACAGGTAAGTTTCTTTGTCGCCTGGCCTTAGGAGGCATAACAAAAGTACAAAAACCAAATTAAAAAGGGAGGACTTCCCTTTGGTTTAGGTCGAGAAGGTATTGCTAACATCTTGGAGCAATTTATAGCTCACTCAGTCTCAGTCCTGCTCCAACGAGATGCAGGCGCAGGGCTATTTTATATTTTTAGGTGCATGACCAAGACTATTTCAGGTGCCCAGGCCTTTTCTGGATGGCATTTTTAAATTACTGTCCGCAGCTCACCTTCCAGTCTTGTACCATTAATTTTATTTTATTCTTTTGGGTAAACATATTGCACTGTCGCTTTTCTACACACCTCTCTGAATTAATATAATGTGAGCGTTTTATAAAATCTCTGAAAATACAAATTAGAATACACCTTGGTCATATGAAGGAACAGTGAGACCGTGTGTGGTTCTCCCACTTTGTATACACAGCATAAGCATGGGAACATGGTGTATATGCATGTACATCAGGAAGCACATAATTCAGGTAACCCTGGAACTAGCCACTCCCACCCCCCTTTTAATATGAAAGAATGGCAGGGATCAGAAATATGGTTCATGCCATGCATTATGGCATATGCAGTAGAGGAGGTGCATGTGCGCTGCCCAATCCCGTACATGGCATTGGCAGGCCTTGGAATTGGGCACCGTCCGTCTTTGACCAAATATAACCAAGATACGAGGCTTTGTGCAAGATGGAAGCCTACCTCCTTCATTGGGCAAGGATGGCATGGTCAATGGTAGGGTGCAATAGCCGAGCCCAAATCCTGCTGCACGCACTCAGGAAACTCCAAAGGCCCTCCAAGCCAGTTCTCTGAAAGCTCTTGTCATACCATGTCAGTTCAAGACTGTGGCGAAACTCAGTTCCGAAAAAGAAACAGGTGCCTGCGTTTAATAAAGACACGAACCCATTACAAATAACTATGGACAAAGTAAAATGTGAGGTTAAAAAGCAGTGGTTTGGGTTTTTTTTTAAAAGGTACAGATTAAGAATCAGATCGCTAGGAAGAGAACCTTCAGATCCAACCCATAAACTTTAAGGTGGAAGTTTCCAAAACGTGTTCCGGTGTTTATTGCTTTAAATTTGATCTCACATACTGTTTTAGAAAAGACATACAGAATAATCATTACAGCCACTAAATTCCCCGGATGTTGCCCAGCATAGTTGAAGGTTGGGTGTCTGAGGTGGGTCTGAACCAGCTGAAGACCATTGTCCTACTCTTGAGTAAAACTTAGCTGACTGCCACCCATGGGCATTCTCTTTATCCCACAGTTACATCAAGTAGCATTGTTGCAAAAATGTAGCTATGATGTAAAAGTACCGACACCTGTCAAATTCAAGCCGCAGCCAATTTAAACTTGCTACATGGTCACAGGAAGGGAGGGGAAACCCCATAGCTATCAGGAAAGAAACCACTTTTTTGCTAACATGACAGATTAATACTGATGACAGAAGCTCTACTATGCTCCCGACTGATGCATAATATATAACAGTTTTAAAAGGGTAGGAGAAATGCCATGTCTTGAGTGCATTACAAGCCACAGTGCTTTTCTGGCCAGTTATGGACTTGACTGCACATACTGTACTCCCAAGGGCTTATCTGGACTATAAACAAAAAAGCTTGCAGATGACAAAGAACAGGCACTTGAGGAACAGCTACAGAATGCATTAATGTAAATGTTGAGCAGGAAAAACTTGGCCTCTTGCACTGAAGTGCATGGGACGCCATCAACACAGCCTATTTTGTTCATTCAGGAGGATTAAAAATATACAACGGATAGATGAACATAATGCTCATCAGCACTGGGGCAGAAAGCTCCATTCTCTATTAAATCTTCAGCTCTCTGAAAAAGCTTCCAGAAAGAGAAGGTATAAGTAAAGGTAAAGGGACCCCTGACCATTTGGTCCAGTCGTAAGTGACTCTGGGGTTGAAGCTCATCTCGCTTTATTGGCCAAGGGAGCCGGCATACAGCTTCCGGGTCATGTGGCCAGCATGACTAAGCCACTTCTGGAGAACCAGAGCAGCGCACGAAAACGCCGTTTACCTTCCCGCTGAAGCGGTACCCATTTATCTACTTGCACTTTGACGTGCTTTCGAACTGCTAGGTTGGCAGGAGCTGGGACCGAGCAACGGGAGCTCACCCCATCGCGGGAATTCGAACCGTTGACCTTCTGATTGGCAAGTCCTAGGCTCTGTGGTTTAACCCACAGCACCACCGGGGTCCCTCCAGAAAGAGAACTGAGTCTTTTAAGATTCCCACTCATGATACATGTACTTGACTCACTTTTGCCTCTGGTAAAAGGCTTTTGCATTGTTTCAGAAGCCCACAGACAATAGAGGGACATAAGTAACATGTGTGCTGTTTGCCACAGAAAACCATGATGCTGCTCTCTTGCCACTTCCAACTCTCTTTTAAAAATAGTGCCTGCCTCCAGTCTTAATCAAAATGCAACAGTGCCAAGGTAGGAAATGTTGGCTTGGTCTCTGGACATTCATGTTGGATTATTAAGCTGAGATGTGCAGAAGCCTTGTACCACTCCTTATCACCACCATAGTATGCCATGGTTGAATACTTCCTGGAATAAATTACCGTATCTTCCCATTATGTCCAAACCAGAACACTATGGTTACCAGAACTGAAGGTAAGGAGGATTTGAAACCATCATTTCAGATCACAATTTGCTCCAAAACAGTTTGGACATAATGGGCAACCAAGGTTAATTAACCCAGGAACTCTTCGACCACGGAGTACCAAAAAGAGAGGGTGAAAACAGTGACGTGAAAAGGGAGTATGCAAGCACAGGGCTGGTGGATATCTTGGCTTACTAGGCAAAGATAGATCTCCAAGCTGGGCCAGCTTCAAACAAACCATGGTTAGCTGGGTCAGAGTCAGAAGTAAAACAAATGAACTAACTCAGTTAAACAAACCATGGCTTATACAGAGTGAGAGAAAAGGTATGACAACCTGACTTTGAGCCAATATATTATCTTGCCTCCCTTTACAAGTTGCTAGAACCAGGTAAAGGCCACAGAATGTCTCTCCAGAGCATCTCTGATAACGTCTTGGGCTGGGCCAAATTATTTGATTGTTGAGATCTGGACTTGTCCACTTCCAGGGCCAAGCCCATCCAATATATAATAACACGGCATATGCAATATCAGGCTAATCTGAGAAAGGATTTCAGCAATGCATATTTGGAAGGGAATCCAGTAACCACTGGCCTTTCAACTGATTAGTTTTAATGGAACACATTGCAAATCAGCCAGCCATTCTTAGAACATCACCTTGGCTATTTTTGCAAAGGGTTTCATGTTTTCAGTTGCTGCCAGAAGATTGCAGGAACAACATAATCATTGTGATTCAACTCATTAGTTCAAAAAGTGTTGATTATGTAACAAAAGGAAAAAATCAGAACAGCTGCTAACAATCATCCTTTCCATGTCCTTGGAGACATAGTTCCCACACCCAACTGCAATAAGGTCCTAACTAGAAAAAATATTGGTGAGCCATTTTCAGATGGCCCATTCCTTTAATTCCACCCAGCCCCCAGCCCCCCCCCCCTGCAGCCAAGTGAATTGGATTTGGACAGCAGGACTAGGAGGGGTGGGGTTATAATTTCCCCTTATATTGTTTTCCTAAAGTCTAGTAGTTGTAGGGCTGGACTAGGACTTTGAAGACCAGCATCTTTAAGATATCAATCTTCTCTTTCCATGGTTCATTTTACATATCATAAATCCCTGCATATTTTACAAAAACTATACCACTCATTATTCCATTATTGCATCTATCAAAACTTGTTTACAGTGTTTTCAGCTGTACACAAATATTTCCCAAATATTCAACAAATATTTTCCAGTCTTCTTTAAATGTACCGTATTTTTCGCCCCATAGGACGCACTTTTTCCCCTCCAAAAATGAAGGGGAAATGTGTGTGCATCCTATGGGGCGAATGCAGGCTTTTAAACATTTTTTCAAGTCATTATGGATCATTTCCCAATACTCTTTTACAAGTCCAGAATCAGAGGTAAACTTTAGAGACACAGGAACACACACATATTATTATTATTATTATTATTATTATTATTATTATTATTATTATTATTATTACAACCACCCACCCTTCACCAGAAGGTACTAGGGTGGGTCACACCAATGTAAAAAAATGGATCAGTTGAAGCTCCTGAGTTGTCTTCAATGATAGGCCCATTTAGAGCACACTACAATAGTCCAATTTGGAAGCAACCAGAGCATAGAGTACCATAGCCAAATCATCTATGTCCAAAAGGGCTGTAGCTGTCCAGAGCTGGAAAAAGGAACTCCTAGTCACCAAGGCTACCTGAGCCTCCAGGGATAAGGTTGGATCCCCAAGCTATGGACCTGCTCCTTTCAGAGGACTGCAACCCCACCCAGAGCAGGGCATCTCATCACTTCAAAGATTTGAGAACTCAGAACGCATAACACCTCTGTCTTTTCAGGAGCCAGCTTCAATTTATGAAGCTAAGGAGGTTCCTGTTCTGTACTGGATCACAGTGGTCTTTCTTAGCCCTCCCTAGAGATAATAGACACTGAACCTGGAATCACCTGAAAACAGACAGGCCACACCTGGAAGCCCACATTGTCAAACCAGACTCCAAATATAATATGGCATCTTAACTGCAAAACAAATGGGAGGGTCAAGCAAGGAATTAACTCCCTTCCCTGCATTAATGGAAATGGAGGGTCTGTGCATTCAGAAACACGTGTTTCTCGACCTCAATTACCCCGAAGCAAAGCCATGAAAAACCCAGCTCAATTTACAAGCTAACTTTCTGCTGCCTCCAAGCGACAAGCATGACGACATTGCAAGGTCCACTGGATCTGTAATTCCAAGTCACTGCAAACCCTGACCTCAGGGTGCCCAGTCTCCGTCATGCCTTGAAATGCAGGCGCCAGAGCTCAGCCCCATGCAGGAAGAGCCACTCGCAAAGTTAGCAGGAAAGCTTTGTGCTAAAACCAGCATTTAAGAACAAATGTGATCTGGTGACCATGTATTTTTATGCACGAGGAATTCTCCGATGCTTGGAAGAGAAGTATCTCGCAATATGCCGCAAACGTCTTCCATTTCAGAAAAGTCTGCTCTGCCAGACAACTTTTCTTTTAAATAGATGGGAAACTGCAGTACAGTGGTACCTTGGATTACATGCGCTTCAGGTTACATACGCTTTAGGTTACAGACTCCGCTAACCCAGAAATAGTACCTCGGGTTAAGAACTTTGCTTCAGGATGAGAACAAAAATCGTGCTTCCGCAGCACAGCGGCAGCTGGAGGCCCCATTAGCTAAAGTGGTGCTTCAGATTAAGAACAGTTTCAGGTTAAGAATGGACCTCCAGAACGAATTAAGTACTTAAGCAGAGGTACCACTGTACAACAGAAGATTTAGAGCTGAGCCAAACATGCCTCTTCCACCAACACAATTTCCCCACTGCTGATTAGGAGGCAAATTCAGAGAAGCCATTTCAAAGCGTGAGCACCTGCAAGAGTTCCCCAAAGTTTAGAGGGGTGCTTAGCATTTAGCAATTGTATTGTAGCCTGACTTGCTCTGCCACAAAGAGCTCTGCTGTTTATCACTTGCAGGAAAGAAAAAAAAGCAGGATGGAGGGGGGAACCACACAGAAAATGGCACTTACATACTCTCTAAACCTTTCAGGAACTTTTGTGCCTCTCTCACCCAAACCCCACCCCAGGCTTGGGGTCCCTTCTTTCTTCTCCTTTCCATCCAATTTAGAATCAAAACGTCACCACAGAAACACAATATATTTCTAAATATGCATTTAAAAAGGTAAAGGGACCCCTGACCGTTAGGCTCAGTCGTGACTGACTCTGGGGTTTGCGGCACTCATCTC